ATGTTTACGCTTACTCTATTTTGGTCTGTGCTTAATTCAGACTTCATTTACATTTTCTTATAGGTGTATTCTTTTGGCACGCAGTGGTTAAAAGACAAAAACAGTACTGACAATGTTAAAAATGAGACATGGAGACTCTTTTTACCAGAGGTAAAGCCACTAGGCACCTACGAAGTGTACCATAAGAAACACTACAACTGCCCACTTAAAGGGAATTTTTTAAAAATTGTTTGCAGGAATTCAGTTGTTGAGATGTAAACAGTCAGTCCAAGTGGTTTGATGTGAAATGGTTAATTGTAGAGGTGATGGGCACTAGGGGTCACAATGTCAACACAAAATTAGCTATTTTATTAACAATCCAAAATAACCAGTGAACCTACATGAGTCTTTTGCATTTTTATATGCAATGTTGATATTGAAAACATAGTGGTAAAAAATTTTTAGGACTGTTTTGCCTTCCAATGACCTGCATGTACCCCTCCACCTTGAATGTGTTAATACTTTTTAGGCCAAAAGCTTATCTCAAAACTACTGCAAAACAATATCTCAGACATCAGGTGGTGTATTCATATTAATTTCATGTAATAACTTTCTCTAAAAGGTAGCTTTTTAGAGGCATTAAATGATTCAGACGTCTGGTTCCTATCACCACCACTGACTCTAATTCTGACTTTATAAGTTTCTCTAGAACAGCATTTCACATCAAACCACTCCGAATGACGTTGTTTACATTATTACCCTTTTATTTATGCAGAAATTTTGAAAAATCAGTGGAATGCCCCCTTCTCCCTGCATTGTTGTCCAAAACAGGTGATTCATAGCAGCAACAAACATGCCGTCACCTGAATTACTGAGATTAACTTTTCCTACGATTCTAAGATCTATTTTGATTAACTATCTTTATGCCTTTACATTGGATTCTTTTTTTTCTTGCATGCACTTTTCTTACGTTTCCTTCGTAAAAAAATTGTACGTTGTCTTTTGTATTATCTCAATAAATCAGCACTTGCGCTCCCTAAGGAGAACCATTTCCCTGCATGCCAAAATTGGAACTGGAAGACACTTCGGTGACGTAACACGAAGAGCCTAAGAAGTATGTTACACCTAGGCTGATGGGTTTTTACCTCAAAATGATTTCAGCCATAACATACTATTACTTTGGTGCTTAGGTTTATTGTGAGCCAACTTATCTCACAACCCTTAATACTGTCCAGAGTGAGTGGAAGGCCTCAACTTCAAAGACGTTGACTGAAAAGCTGAATTTGACTTTGGCAGGGGGGGTTGTACTGAAGTGTTCCGTTGTTCCTCTTTTGAGCAGCAAAAAAGAAGGCAGTGCACCCTGTAAGAGACGTTTTCCCCCCCTCTTTCTTGTGACATTTTACACATTTTTTGGCACTCATCTCGCATCACCTTAACGGGCAGAGCACTTAAGCTTTGGTTTTAAAGAGAGGGCAAGAAAATGTCATGTGTCTTTTAATCATATGTATCAAGCCATCATTGAATACAGTACATTATTGTATAAAACCCTTTGTGTTGTGTTTTTTTGTTTTATAATTAGCCAGATGCATCTCTCTTTCTCTCTCTCTCTCTCTCTCTCTCTCTCTCTCTCTCTCTCTCTCTCTCTCTCAATGAATGACTTAGCATTGATACATTAGCTCTACAGAGGGTGACAGTGATTATACTGTTCACTTAGAGGATCATTCTCACGAAGCAACTCTAACTATGAAACTATGGCCATAAATATTTGAGTGCCATAACAGTCATAGACATAAACATGATACAGCAACACGTTAAAATTAAAAAAAAAAAAACACATACAAGTTGTGTAAATATATTTGTTTTGGCTTCGTAACTTAGTAAGTTACTTTTAACTTTTGAGTGTCTTTATTTTAATATTGTCCTTGTAAACTGTAAAGATAAGAAAGAATGTTATGTAGCTCAGTTAAAAAAGAATGCCTTGATGGCTGTTCCAGCTATGAGATAAAATTGCAAAATATATATATATATATATATATATATATATATATATATATATACATACACACTGATCAGGCATAACATTATGACCATCATAATGTTATAGAAACATAGCATTATGTTTCTACACTCATTGTCCATTTTATCAGCTCCACTTACTATATAGGTGCACTTCGTAGTTCTACAATTACAGACTATAGTCCATCTGTGCTGCTGGAGTTTTTAAACACCTCAGTGTCACTGCTGGACTGAGAATAGTCCACCAACTGAAAATATCCAGCCAACAGCATCCTGTGGGCAGCATCCTGTGACCACTGATGAAGGACTAGAGGATGACCACCACAAACTGTGCAGCACCAGATGAGCTATTGACTCTAACTTTACATCTACAAGGTGGACTGACAAGGTAGGTGTGTCTAAAAGAGTGGACAGTGAGTGGACACAGTGTTTAAAACTCCAGCAGCACTGCTGTGTCTGATCCATTCATACCAGCACAACACACACTAACACACCACCACCACCACGTCAATAGTACCTGCTGTGAGGGTCCCATGGGGGTCCTGACTACTGAAGAACAGGGTAAAAGGGGGCTAACAAAGTATGCAGAGAAACAGATGGACAACAGTCTGTAATTGTAGAACTACAAAGTGCACCTATATAGTAAGTGGATCTGAGAAAATGGACAATGAGCATAGAAACAAGGAGGTGGTCATAATGTTATGCCTGATCGGTGTATACACTATATTGCACGCATATGAACTTGAGTGACATTGCATTCTTAATCCATAGGGTTTAATATGATGTCGGCCCACAGTTTGCAGCTATAACAGCTTCAACCCCTCTGGGAAGGCTTTCCACAAGGTTTAGGAGTGTGTTTATGGGAATTTTTGACCATTCCTCCAGAAGCGCATTTGTGAGGTCAGATACTGATGTTGGACGAGAAGGCCTGGCTCGCAGTCTCCGCTCTAATTCATCCCAAAGCGTTCTATCGGATTAAGGTCAGGACTCTGTGCAGGCCAGTGTTCTTCCACACCAAACTCGCTCATCCATGTCTTTGTGGACCTTGCTTTGTACACTGGTGCGCAGTCATGTTGGAACAGGAAGGGGCCATCCACAAACTGTTCCCACAAAGTTGGGAGCATGAAATTGTCCAAAATCTCTTGCTCTGCTGAAGCACTAAGAGTTTCTTTCACTGGAACTAAGGGGCCGAGCCCAACTCCTGAAAAACAACCCCACACTATAATCCCCCTCCACCAAACTTTACACTTGGCACAATGCAGTCAGACAAGTACCGTTCTCCTGGCAACCGCCAAACCCAGACTCGTCCATCGGATTACCAGACGGAGAAGCGTGATTCGTCACTCCAGAGAACACGTCTCCACTGCTCTAGAGTCCAGTGGCGGTGCTTTACACCACTGCATTCAACGCTTTGCATTGCGCTTGGTGATGTAAGGCTTGGATGCAGCTGCTCGGCCATGGAAACCCATTCCATGAAGCTCTCTACACCGTTCTTGAGCTAATCTGAAGGCCACATGAAGTTTGGAGGTCTGTAGCGATTAACTGCAGAAAGTTGGCGACCTCTGCATATGCTGACCCCGCTCTGTCATTTTACGTCTGGTTGCAATGACTTGCATTAAAAGTAAAGAAGGTTTTTTTCCTTCTTCTGTAAAGTTACCATTTTGGAGATCCGAGGTTTTGTTCCGACAACAGCGATATATATCCTTTAAACCGGTGTTACCTTCACATAATAATATCTCCACATCTTACTGTTGTAGTAATGAGAATTTGGCCACTTAAATTGGAAAATGTTTCTAAAAATCATTTAATGAAAATAACAAATTATTATTATTATTTAAAATAAACTAAATCATTCAGGTTTATTTTTAACTATTCAACCATACATAATAGTTAATGTATCCAAAAAATAGGTTTTTCATATTTTTTTCCAAGTTCATGTTTGTTTATTCGTATACAAATTGCATTTTTAGCAAATTGTAACAGTAGTCGTTTCTATTTTTTCAAGATATTCATTTAGCAACTTTTAAAAGGCCACTCTGGCCAAAATGAAAAACTTAACCGTCGCTACATCAGTTGTAAACATGCTTACTCGCATCCTGCAGTGGTGAGATTTTCCAGGTGTTCTAACAGGTTGTCATTCTTGTCGAGTGGTCCTACTGAGCATGCGCATATCATTACTGCAGCGTAGTAACTTAATGTTGCAAACGTTTCATTGTATTTTACTGTTAATTCAGTACAGACTCAGTTAAATATTATTACTTATTACTTATTTATTACTTACATCAAATTATCCTAGCTAACTGTTACCTAGCTAGATTTCAGTGCTGGTAGCATTTTCTGATAGGGTATTTTAGGCCATTAAAATTACAGTATTATATATAGCGCTACCTAACAATATGCAGTACAGTAGGACATTTCGACAGGGTAGCGCACTTTGTCGGTTTAAAGGAAAACCCCCTTCTGATGTATTCTGAGGGTAGGAGAAACTTTTGAAAAAATTCAGGTCTTTTGGGGTGGATACTGAAGAGCGGGCTGTTCATTTTTATTCATTTATTTATTTACATATTGTACCTGCTGGCTTGCTAATGCAGAAAGAAGCCGGGTGGCTAATGTTATTGTAAGAAAGCTGAATATCATGTATGTGATTATTAGCCTCTACATTCATGATTTCTTTATTGCAAAGGGGGAATCTTAACGTATGAATGACGTATTTGCGTAAAGCACGCTGGGTATTGTAGTGAGACGACACTGATGAACAAAAAAAAAGCAAAAATAAATAAACATGAACTGTCGAACCGATTAGGCTGAAGGATGCAATGCTGCGCTACAGAATGTTAAATAACATTATAAATAACATATTAAATACTAGTTTTAGGGCTAAATGTCCTTTTAAGGAGCTTTTTTTACTTGTAAAGACTGTTTGTATGGCATTTTACTAACCGCTACAAGCTGCCGAGTGCCGAACGTCACCACGCAACGCAGCCGTTACGCGATGACGACACTGGTTGAGTCTGGCGATGACGACGGGGCTCGGCGGAGGGACGAACTGAAGACCGCAAATGGATACGAGGCGCGATTTGGCTATTTTTTCGTCGTTTGTTTTATTTCGCGGGGCTCGGAAGAAAGTACTGACCAGTTCTGCTTCGGAGGTTCCCCAAAGGTTTGTGCACAAGTTGTTTTCTCTACTTCTATTCCCTGCGTTTGTTGGCCGCGGCCTTGACGCGGGGGTCCGCCCTCTCTCTCATAACAACAACAAAAACACAGTCCGCTCGGCTAGCCTAGCCTAGCTTAGCTCAGCTCAGCTCAGCTCACGGGCCTTGTGGAAGTAACGTTATAAACGCTCTTAATTATGTGGACTCAGGTTTGACTTTATGCTCTTCAGAATGGGCCAGCAAGACATATCTGACACCAACGTAGGTCAGTAGTCGTTTAGGGGGTGCTGACAGGAATTTGAAATGCAAGTTAAGCTAGCAAACTAGCCCGCTAATACTGGGATTGTGGTCTAAACTATCTGTAAACTTGCACGTTAGCAAGCCAGCTTAGGCAAATTCTAGATAAACAGAAGCTGGGTGGGTGTAACTTGTAAGTCGTGCATTTTTTGCTTTGCCTTTTTCTCTTCCACAACTTCCAACAGCTTTTGCTGCTTAGCGTATCGTTACTTCAGCAACATTGGTTTGACTGGTGCTGTGACAAGTCCGCTAACTAGCTAGCTAATGGCAGCCGCTTGTTAACTAGGTTACTTTCCAAAATCAGCTCAGTTCTATGGGAAAATGTTGAAGATCGTTTACTAACGACCAAAATAATAACTATTAAGACGTTAGTTTGACTGCTTAGGCAATTGCAAATTGACTAGCATGAGGAGAGTTATGAATCAAACGTCAGCAGTGAGCTGCGAAGCACCGTGATTAGCTATAACTGGAACGCTGTTTGTACTGACTAAATCTCCAAGTCTTTCTTGTTATAAACCTAAGTGGGAGGATAGATTTACTCTTTTGCCTCTTAGTATTAAAGACTAGAAGTGTTGATTTTGTTTACAGGGTGCATCCCTTAGTGAGGAAAATTAGATTTGAATTAAAGTGTGAAATTCCATTGAAAATAGCCTTTTTAGTTAATTTCGAATCCAGACAGCATTTGTTGCAACAATGAGGAAAACTGGGACCAAGTGTCTTATTATTCTGAGCTGTTTTGTTGACCTGTGAAGACCTACAAAAGGTTGCTGCAGTAGAAGATAACCAACATATATTTTCATGTTTTGACTCAACATTCATTTAAGAAAAGGTTTAGAGTGAGATCGTCACACAGATGAGGCAGGAAATCAGAGCAAACAAAGAGGCAGGCTGCCTTGTGTCACTGTGAGAGTGACATCTGAGAAAGAGACACTGACTGATTCTTACACTTGCTCACAGTTAGAGGCATTGACCTAAATGTAAGTTGAGAATTGGAGAAAAGGCACACATTTGTTGCACAGGACACTGCTGCAGTGTGGTTCATGAATGCCCAGGGTTGACACAGTGCTTGCCCTGCATGACAAGGGATTTCTTTTACGTGTAACAGTGTATTAGGCTGGATGCTAGAATGGACATTTCTTAATTTCTTTTGTCTTGATTGGCTATCAGAAAATACATCCAAGAGTGACTGTAACCCCACACTTAAAAGCTGTTCAAACAGCTTCAAAACTTCAAAACGGTTTGTTTATAGTACGCTTGCTGTGGTAAACATGTGTATGTGCAAGTCAGATATGTTTTATCAGTTGTTGCCAGACCTGCTCTAGGGATAGTGCGCTAAATGCAGGGTTTTGGTTGGGCACTGGGCTGCCCTTGTCTGTGAGCTCATACCGTATGATTCTCAGGAGACCCACAGGGCCGAAAGAAGCCCTCTGGCTAGAGAAATTCCTCCCTCTCAAGACATAACAATTACTTAGCTTGTTTAGTTAGAGATATCCCCAGTGAGCTGCATATAAGCAGTGTGCAAATTTTTCTTACAGCTTAAAGGTTGGTGTTGTATGGTCAAAAAAATCAAGTTTTAGCTTAGGCCTTGTTTGTTTGACATTTAAATCAAGGGTACTGAAGAAGAGGTTGAGAAGGGGATATTCAGTGTCTACAGGAACTTTTCTTATGAGTAGTGCCCGGTCAGGTTCTTCAGATTGAATGTAATTGTCTAGGCTAAGTGACCCAGTAAATGCAAATGTTTAGTTTGTGTTTTTAAAGGTGTTGGATCCTTTAAAATGCATTTGCATGTTAACCCTAGTTTATCACTCAGACATTTCCAGAGAACAGAGCTGCAGTGGGAGGTATGGCAGAGCTGATGAAGGTGTGTACACTGTGGCCTGTATCTTCTGCTGCCATCGGTGGTTTAGTTCCTCTCCACATGTGCACATGAGCAATGTGTCTCTCTCACTGTGCACCGTCACTACCAGAGAGGCTACGTTTACTGGAGAGTAAAAAAGGGGTTTTGTAGAAGGGGGCACACGGCCTAATATTTGGAACTGTTCCATTTTCATTCATGCTGTTTTATGCAGCCTCACATAATCCTGTTTCTCTTTTCCTCCACAGATCTCAATGCCATAATTCTGACTGAGACGATCAACACAGACGGGTCTAGCAACAGCATCAGTTTTGTTAAGACCCAGGTGCAGTGATTTCAGTTGAATAAATGGTCTTGAGATGCATTTTTCTTTTTAGTTAACAAAACGGGCACTTACATTTGTAAAATACTCTGTTTGCATTTTACGTTTATAAGTGTACGTTATCAGTGTACTACTTTATCTGTCTCTACCTGAACTTTCTCCCTTTCTCTTTCTTTGTTGTTACAGCCACAGACCAAATTGGGGGGAGTAAAAAATTCCAGCTGAAAGCCGGCGGCAGTGACCCACACTCCTTCGCCGGGGCCATGGTAAAGAACCCAGTAAAATCCCTCACTTCCGTCGCTCTCATGTCTGTCAGTTCTCTCAGGCATTAACTAGCAATGGCCCATATGCTGAATTGGAAACTGGCCATTGATTTGTCAGGCTTTTAATCAGATGTATTTACTGCTGCTCAGACAGCTCTGTTGGCCCCAGTTTCAAAGTTCCACCCTAGATGCTTCCTCAGGGAGAATGTTTTTTTTTTCTTTGTTTTAAAATGTTTTTCTGTTTCTTTTCTTTAAGAAAAGTAGAGATGAGTGGACGAGGGTTAATGTCACATCTGTTTGCTGCTCACTTTAACTTTTAACTTTTTGCTTGCTTGTTTTAACTTGCACCTTGCAAAGGACCAGACACTGTTTAGGGAAGCAGCTGCAGTTATAGTGGTTGGTTGCAGTTACTTTCTGCCATCTCTTGTTGTTTGTGGCTCTGAATCTGTACCCAAGATGTGCAGCCAATGTACCTGGTTTTGCTTGTGCAGTTGGGTTTGTTTCCTTATTTCACACATTTTTGATTGTAGTACCTACAAGATACTGACTTTGTATATATGTTTACAGTGACTGATGTGCTTTGTGTAGGTGTATGATTAAGTTATGTGCATTGTGGTCTGTCTGTCTGCCTGCTCCTGTTTTCGTTTCCACACACGGCCGCCCCCCTCCTGGCCTCTGTAGTGAGCTCCCTCAGGCATGTTGATGCCCATTGTTGGTTCCACACTCACTGCCATGCTGCTGATCCAACAGATACACATACCTACAGCTTGCTTCCACTGTCCATTAACTAATACTTTTTTAATACACTTCCCCTAATTTCTTACTCCATTTCATGGGACCTAGGTACAGGCTGGCATGTAAGCTCAGCTGATACATGCTGCTGAGAATTAGTGTTTCTTAGGGTGTATATATGTTGCTTAAAGGTGTATTCAGACTTGGAGGTTTGGTTTGTTTAAAACAGTCCTTGGTGCAATTACTCAGTTAGTGCGGTTCATTAGAATAAATGAGAACGCTGTCATGTGAACCCTGAGACACACCAAATAAGTGGACGAGACCCTCAGAGGAGCTTGGTCTTGGTCCACTACCAAACAAACCTGGTGTGGTCCAGCTGAAGTATGAACGCAACATGTCTAACCAGGCCAAAAACAGAGCGAACTGTCGTCTCCTCTCTGAAAACCGTCAGTATGTGGAAATGCTGTTTTGATGTGCACGTTTTGTATTTTAAGTTCTGTCAGATAAACACACATATGACTGAGAACACCTATTGCAATATGTATAAAGGTGCTATGTTTTTGCTGTTATACAAAAGCAGTAATCCACACAAGACTTTGTTACAGTGATTTCATCCGCTCCGAAAACCACAGTAATGCACGGCCTCTTGTGGTTTGCTGATTTAGAATATTGCAAGACATACATAAAACCCACACGCTCAGTTAATGAGCCTTGAGCATGGCTCAAGAAGTTTTTTACATATTATTGCAGTTATTGTTGCTAAACGTATGTCGTAGAATCTACCCAATCTGTGACTTTTTACTTGTATGACATTTGTTTATGTCTTTGTTGTTTAATGTCAGATATATCAGTGTAAACACTAAGCAAACAAAAAAAATGTTAAAATGCTTTCATATAGACATGTTTAAAACAACTGCATAGCTTAAAGAGGAAGGTAAAATATTTTTTTTCAGATTTTTTTTATTGATGTGATATGCTGCTGTGTCAATGATGACCTCAGCAAACCACCCCAAATAGTCATAATTAGAGTTCTCAAATCACTTCGTTCCCCCACTTTACTTTATGACCACGCTGTACATGTGGCACCAGAAGGACTCAGGTCATGTTTTGGGGTAGACTAGGTGGCGACACTCACAACCTCTCTCCTACTTGTGGGCATCCACACACATTCTTTGGCAGTTTGATCACAGAAAGCTGTGTTTGAAGCTACTTCTGTGCTGCTGCCTCACATGATGCAGAGCAGAAATGAATGGAATGGCTTATGCACAGCGTGTTGACCCACTGAGGCAGCGTGCAGCTTCAAAGAGCTCCTTACATGACGACGGTCCTCGTAAACGCCTGGCGCAAGGTGGCGTAGTCACAGGCAACAAGGCATTTTAATAGGATCTGACAACACAAATTAAATTTAGACCCTGTAATGTGTTTAAGATGCTAAACAGATATAGGATATAGGCTAAACAGATTACTTATGATGTTTTCAACAGTGTAGTAGCTGTAGGTGTTTAGCTGCCTGGCTGTGGGTTGGATGAGGCCTACACAGAGGGGCTTTTCAGCTGGGTTTGAAGAGAGTGAACTCTATTAGCTGGAGAGATGGTCTGTATGTTTGTGTGTGTGTGTGTGTGTGTGTGTGTGTGTTGTGTTGCACACGTGTGTGTGTGGGGGGGGGTAGTGGTGTCAGTGAGCTGAGTGAACAAACTGGCAGGATTTGACAGCAGTCAATTTATTGCAGTGCTGCTCTAGAATCAGCTTTATCTTTTGTCTGTCTACCCAAACTGCTCTTAGACCCACAGTCTGTGGTAAACCCTCTACCAGCAACAGGACTACATGCATTAATTCTTGTTTTGGTCAGGAAACGGTGCAGCTTCCTCTTCAGATTCAGTTTAAGTCTGTACTAACTGTCTTATTAATAACTACTTCTATGCTGTGATATCATTTTGACTGGAACTCCCTGGGCCAGATGAAAACTGAGTTTTGTGTATATGATGCGCAGCTAGAAGCAAACGTGTTTTACAAGTAAGATTTATGTTGGTAGTAAATGTGGTGTATGTTTTGGTAACAAACTTCTTTTTTCTTGTAATACATTTTGGTTATAAGTGGTAAGCAATGCCATTGAACCAGAGTAATTTGGCATATAACTGTTCCAGGAGATGCCTTTGACTGCATGAAAGGCAATGTGTAGAGACCAGGGTTGCCAGTCATTAGGTCATGGTCTTTGCTGATTGTGCTTTGGTTTGCCTAAGCCCATTTTTCGTCTGGCAGGAGGAGGAGGTGCAGCAGAGTCTGGAGTGTATTCAGGCCAATCAGATCTTTCCGAGGAAGCCCCCTGTCCTGGAGGAGGAGGATCTGCAGGTGAGATGACTCACATCTTCATTTTGGTTATACATCGCTTAAAGATTATCTGAATTGTGCTGTGTAACTGTACTTTCTGGAGCTGGATTTTAATTTTAGTACCACTTGGGCTCTTGCCTTTAGATTTGTTAATAATGTTACATGCTCCTCTAAAATCCTACTTCTTTAGTCTTGGGGCCAGTACATCTATAGCTGTTCTTAAAGTATATATTTGTAAAATCATATTATGTGTTGCTTTGTTTGTTTGAGTGTTTGGAATGTATTGATTATGGAATGTATTGACTCTTGTATGTATGTACTCTTGTTTATGACAATGTTGTTATAGGTGCCCTACCCAGAGCTGGATGGAGAGTTTACGAAGTATGTGGGGAGGGGGGAGGAAGCCGTCATCGCCATGTCAAACTACCGTGTGCACATCAAGTTCAAAGAGTCTGTGGTCAATGTAAGTAAGCGTCTTTAACATGAGCTGATCTTTTTCTTTCAAACCTCATAGCCAGAGCTTCTCAAAGCTATTCAGTGTGAAATAGTACTTGGCAGTTGGGTGAAAGAATCACACGCTGATCTAAGCTTTAGTCAGTCAAAAATATTTTGGCATACCAGAAATCTTGCCGTCAGATCTTTCCAACCAAATATTTTCTAATGTTTAGAGCTCAGCTAAATTCCCAGCATTCTTTTCCTCCCCAGTCTGCCACTAATTGATTCATTGCTGCAGTTGCTGTAGCGTTAGGCTAACATGTATTGCTCTAGTGAACGTTTAGAGTTGTTTGCAAGATGTCTTCTTGAATTACTGTTGCCAAACAGAGTACAACCTGCTTGTATTGTGACTTAGAGTAGCTGAGTGCGATGGATAGTGGGACCACTGGTTGCTGAAAACACATTTTCATGTGGCGCTTGGTGCGATGCTAAATTTAGAGCCCACAGACTATGTTGGATGGTGTTTAGGGACAGTGTGTCAGAATTACACAGGTCCTCTGACAGGCAGGCTATATAAAATGGCCAGTCAGTTACAGCAAGAGAGTGAGTAGGTCTGTCTTTGCACCCCTTGCTTATTCTGTTCCACAAGCCTGTTGCCATGGTTTCTGTTTTTTTTTTCTTTTTCTTTTTCTTTCCTGAGCATTTCTACTCAAGGTTTCCTCATAGCTCTGTCAGAAACTTTTGTTGAGCACTTTCCTTTTATTGCTCTTACTAATGCATGCATTTTAAAGACCATCCATTTTAACAACAATGTGACCTGCACACTTCTCAGTGATTCTGAAAGGCTGCATATGCAACCTTTTTGAGAAGTTTGGGCAATCTTTTAGTCAGATTCACTTCATTGTAGTGGTGTAATGTTTTATTTCTTTTCTCCATGCATCATTTAGAATCCCTCCCAATGCAACTGCATTGACCATAAAGGAAAAAAATATGTTATTGCAATGTGTATGTTGGTCAATAATTGACATTAAATGCCACGAATCTAATATTTTATTAACAAAGCAGACTTTGAACAAATACTTGTGATGTGATATTTTTCTCCCACTTCAGCACCTTACAGCACATGAGTGGCTCAGGCAGCGTTCACAAGCTAACCTTGGATGCAGATAATGGAGGAAACACAGAGAGAGAGATTTGCAAACAAAAAGTTCAGGCACTGCTGATCATCAATAAACCAACCAACATTTATTTTGGCTTTAGTTTTATCGGTCTTTTTTGCTTTAACTCTGTGTTCGCTCTCTTTTTTTCCATAGCACGATAGTGTAGAGATAGCATTTTTAGCTGTCACAAAGAGAGTCCTAATACAACACTTTGAATGTGTTGCGCCTAAAACCCAAGTAAGAACAAGAAAAAGTACCTTTGTTGAGCAGTCAAATTACCCATGACTGAAGTAATTTGACTGTTTGAGTTTTTGCCTGTAAAATATTAGGGAAATGCTTTTAATTCATTAAAGTATTTCTTACAGAAAGTGAATTGCTGAATCAAATCAAATTGAAGCACGGTTCAGTGTATCGAATCGAATTGTTCCTAATCTCTGAATATTGCTTATGAATTGAATTGAAAGCCAGTGCATACTGAATCAAACTGATTTGCAGTCAGCTCAAAGATTCCTACCCCTACTTTATAGTCTGCCGCCCTCTGCACAAGCCACTCCAGTGGACCACGTTGGACTTTAGTACAGGCAGACAAACCAGATCTATTCCATTAAAACAAAAAAAAAAAATGGTTTACAGTAAATCCCAGTAAATGGTTTATCATGGTAGTTAAACATCAGATACACTCTGTGTCATGCCTGAGTTTTCAGCCACTTATTCAGCAGGGTAAATGAATGTAGAAGATGACTGCTCTCTGTGTTCCTGAGAAAGTGTTTGTGTGTGTGTGTGTGTGTGTGTGTGTGTGTGTGTGTCTGTGTATGTATGTATGTACGTATGTATGTATGCGTCACAGTTTACTGAGAGACCAAAGCAGTAGTACTGTGACCACAGGCTTACCAGTGAAGCAGTGCAAGGGCATGGGAGGTAAGAAGAGGGAGAACAGGAGGCAGGCTAGATATTGAGTTCAGTAATGGTTATTTACTGTGTGAGTGAGGATATTACATAGGGTGGGGTGAAAAGAGGGAGGGACAGAGGAAACGTAAATTCTGATTGCTAACAACCTCCCTAGGAATTCTTGAGCGCGGCCAGATTAAAGGGGTGGAATTCTACTGCAGCCACAGGATGTGTGAGCTCAGGAATGCATGGCATCACAGTGCAACCAAAGCCCACAGTACACACACAGTGTGTGATTTACTCTCCCTCTCTCTGTGTTCTGTTTGTCTGTATGAAGCAGAACTGTTCGTGCGAGGTGTCAGTAAGTAGCCAAAGCACAGCCTGACTGCACGGAGTGCTGGCACAAGTGTTCATGTGATTGTGAGACAAGCTTGGGTTGTCTCTGCCATGTTTGAGTTTGACTTGCATGGGGTTGGTCAGTGTGTGGTCACTTGCAATCTCCAGCCTTGACGAGAGGAAGTGCATCTAAAGCAAAAGGCTTAAGAGGCTATGCGTAAAGCACATGAAATTGTAGACTTTAATAAAGGTGAAGACATGGCATGGTGCAATGGTATAAACGTTGGTACACATTAACATTGAGCTCAGTGCTTATTAAATACATTTGAAGAGTGGACACAGTGAGTTTGTGTTTTTAAAGCATCAGGCACTAACCACTAACAAGATTATCGCTATGATAAATCATGAAGGATGGCTGAAAGAATGGTTTAACGAAAAATTAATTCAGAAACTTGCCGTTGTCATTTTGTTGCCATGGATAGATGTTCTGTTTGTGCTGTATTTAATTAGAAAAGAAAGGTAGAAAAAAAAGAGTTAATATTATTGCCTTAAACAGTTACTTAATGGAGTAGAGTCAGTGGTAGTGTGGATTGGGCACATGGTGGTACTCAGATAAGGAAAACTGTACCTAAATATTTGAGATGAATCTTCAAAGTTGTCCTGCTTTCATGGTATACTAGCCTCTTATTACAATTTTACACAATTTTTCTACAATTTACAATTTTACACATAGCGTTTTGTTTTGTTTTTTCCTAAAGGCCTTTTCTGTTGGATTTTTTTAATTTGGTGGCTAAAGAAAGACAAAACTTCAGAAAAGTAAATAGAGAAAAATCAATACCAACATAACGAACAAATATTTGAGTATAGAATTATATCTGCCAAGTTTGGTGCCTGAAGTTTACTGCTTTTGTTTTACACTGTAGCCAAAAGGCAAACAAGTAATGGAAGTTTATACCCCACCGATTAGCACTGTGTAAACCGCACACCTAAATTCTCACACCTGTCTCATACAACAGCATATCCAGAAAAAAAAAAACAAAATTAGGTCACATAGCTAAAACAGTAGTAGCAGCCTTTTTGAAGCCTAAAGTTTGTAGAGACATGTTTGATTTTTTTTTCGTTAAACTATTCATTAGAATTAAGTCCTCTGTGAATTTTTTTTTCTTCATGTTGCATGTGTAGTGCCCAGGCTTCTGCAAACAGGAACTTTATTTTTTTTCTGCTGAGAAAAGTTCACTCATGGATACTTGTCAGTGTATTTAAAGTTTTAAATGTTTACATTTTAAATGTTTAAAACATTAACATAGCTTATCTTTTAAAGGTTTTATAGAATGTTGAATTATATTTTGAACTGTATCTCTCTCTTTCTTCCTCCCTCTTTTTCCAGGTTCCTCTGCAGCTGATAGAAAGTGTGGAATGTCGGGACATGTTCCAACTCCATGTCACATGCAAAGACTGCAAGGTTGTCAGGTCAGAAAGCACAATGCATACACTCATAATAGTTTTGTCCTGCTTTCTGTAGTGCCCTTTGGTTTCTGTAGATGTCTAAACTAGGTGTGTTGTGTGCAGGTGTCAGTTCTCCACGTTCGAGCAATGTCAGGAGTGGCTGAAGAGGCTGTCTGTGGCAGCACGGCCACCCTCAAAGTTGGAGGAGCTCTTCTCCTTTCCCTTCCACGCCTGGTGCATGGACTCATACAGCAGCGAGAAGGAGCAGCATGGCGAACTTTGCAGGCCAGGTGCTGCACCTAAAACCCAATGTCTGCCAGAACTAGGGATGTGCATTCTAACTTTCTTTAATATTTGACAATCTCAATACTGAATGAACATATGCCTAGGTACCTGCAATGAAGGAAAAAATTTGGAAAATCTCCAAAAAATATGACTGGAGCTGGAGGCTTAGTCTTTTAGGCACTGGTATTAAGAGGCTAAAAAAATCAGTAGCTCAAAAATTTAGAAGCAAGCAGAGGAATACATTTGATAACTCGTTTTGTTATCCAAAAAAAGCAGAGGGGCATTGGTAGTTTGTGTTGGATGAAACGGAGGCTGCCTCTTGAGATTTGAGCTAAAACTTCAGCTAAGTGGTACAGCACTGAATGAGGACTCGCAGCATACACAAGGTCTTTTCTCTTCAGTGTACAATGTGCCAGCATGCTAGTTTGTCAGTGAAATGTAGTTCCACTGTTTCTGGATGTGTTTTGGGACTCATGTTTCAGGGTGGCGTTGTGTAATACGCACACTTACTCACAAATACGAACAAAACCATATTTTTTTTTATGTCCTATTGAAACGTGAAAGCGATGTTTCATTGAAAGGTTAGTCTCTATATTTCCATCAGCTTGATGTGCCTAAAATGATCGAGTACTCAAATAGTGATTTCAGTACTTGAATGCTGGCTCCTTAGCTCATTTGTCTCTTATTTATTTCTGCTGTTTTACCTCTGGCAGGTGAACATGTGATCTCACGGTTCAGCAATGAGGTGGAGAGGATGGGCTTCGATACTCAGAATGCCTGGCGGATATCTGAGATCAACAACAAATACAAGTGAGTCGTCTCATCTGCTGAAATCCACCCAGACATAGTTGATATCTGATATCCGTTCCATGCTACTGTGCTCATCCTTTTACACTCTACCTCTGTGTGCTTGTAACACACCAATTGTGCTGCTTTCTGTCAAGTATATTTCCACTGCTACTATATGCCAGTCACACCCATCCTGTGTTTGACACAGAGCGCATTGTTGTATTCAAGGTTGGATGAGGTATGGTATGTCAGGGCTGGCTAGATAAAGCTGAGGCCTATGATTAGGTGACTTTAGTCAGGTATCAGTCAGCACGATGTCCTGCTCTGATGCTAGTGCCCTTTGTCTGCCCCCGGCACTGGTAGGCTGTGTTCCAGCTATCCGCAGCAGCTAGTGGTGCCAGCCTGGATCACCGATAAGGAACTGGAGAACGTGGCGGCCTTCCGCTCCTGGAAGAGATTTCCAGCTGTGGTCTACAGGTCAGTCAGTCAGCCAGTCTGTCTGTGTGGTTGAAAGATATCATCATCAACACACAGGCATGCTTTTTGACCCTGAACTTCTTATGTCTTTTTTATATTTGAAATTTCAGAACAGTAAGAAGACAGAACACTGACACCTCATAAAAACACTTCATTGAATTTTGGCAGAATTTTCCATTTCCGTGAAATATCAGTAAATTAGCAACATGACCACATGTGAACATGATGTCCTTCTAGAGATATTTGAGGTCTTCAGATATCACTATTTGTGTTGTATGTACCTACAGACACCTGAGCACAGGGGCAGTGATAGCTCGCTGCAGCCAACCGGAGGTGAGCTGGTGGGGCTGGAGGAACGCTGATGATGAGCACCTGGTGCAGTCCATCGCCAGAGCTTGTGCCGTGGACAGTAACTCCCCTAAAACCCTCGCCAATGGCTCCTTCTCCCGCGAGTACACCAATGGGCCTGACCTTTCCGATGTGGACTTCGGTTAGTTTCAAAAACATTATGCTTCATACATAAACTTGTCGCCTTTCAGCAAAATCTGTCATTTTGAGTGATGACATTCATGTGAATTATGTAGATTTGATTGGAAAGGCAAGGGGTCTGCTGCCAGCAGAGAACTGAGAGAGAATCGCTTCTCTGCCCCAATGCAACACAGCAGCTCATGGTAGTTATTGGCCAACCCACAGACATAGTATTTAATTTTTTAATAGCCAGTCAGCACTAAGATGTCACCAAAAAATGAAATGATAGCTAGGTTTGGTGAGAATTTTTTGCTTTACATTGTATTTACATATTTGTAGAACTCAAACTAAATAATTCCACAGTAATAACCCCTGTATTGTAATCTTGAAGTGTAGCAGAAGCCACAAGAATTGTCATATTAAAATCACTTTTCATAAAAATCAAGTTTTCTCCTTTGAACAATGTGGCCGGACCCCACTGCAGGACTCTAGTTTCTAAACTTGTCATCTTTTTCACTGCTTGTGAGTGTTCATGTCTGATGCTTGATTGTTCACTCTAATGGATTGTACAAGGAAATGAACAATTAATATCCCACCTTTCCCACTTTGTGTTTCAGATTCATCCATGACCAACAGCTCGGAGGTTGAATCTATGGCCATCCAGCCTCACAAGCTTCTGATCTTGGATGCTAGGTCCTACGCTGCTGCGGTGGCAAACAGAGCCAAGGGAGGAGGCTGTGAGTGCCCAGGTAAGAGTGCTCCCCTCTGAATCACAAAAATCCATGTTTAATGCTGCCACTTTGGGTTTACGTTTTAATGTTGTCATATGATTCCTTCGTTCCTATTTATGAATGCAGACTATTGTTTGCAAATGAATAATCTTGTTTATGGTTGTAAGCAATTTTGTTGCCATGCTGTTGTAAGAAACTTCTTTAATCTCTCCCACACTTCCTTCTCTAGAGTACTACCCTAACTGTGAAGTGGTATTCATGGGCATGGCTAACATCCATTCCATCCGCAAGAGTTTCCAGTCTCTGCGGTTCCTCTGTACTCAGATGCCTGACCCTGCCAAGTAAGCCTACCAGTGCCCAGCAACCCTAATCAGATCCTCCAGCCCAAGAACACAGAGTAACAAAGCTATGATGTTTTGTGATGGAGGATTGATATAACTTAAACTAAATGATTTTTTTTTTAGATTGATATTTCATGTGTTTACATGTAACAGCCAAAATCAAACAGTGCTTATGTCTCAGTCTTTGCTTGTTTATTTTGGGAAAGATACTTCGGCTTCACCATTTTAATCAAGCTATTGCAAAGAGTTGCTCTTGGTTGAGCTTGTTTGAGAATCATCCAGTGCTGCAGCTCTTTCCAAACTCCTTAAGTTATCCTCTCTACTTTTAGTAATGAGTCACAACATGTGATTCTGTTTCTTTATCCCTGGCAACACATCTGCCTCTAGTTTTCGTTTTGGCTCATATTTAAAATTCCCCCCTCCAAACCTTTTCCATCCACTCTAATTTCCTTCTTTCATGTATTTTAAAGTCAGTAATGATTCTCCCCAGTGGACTCACTCACACTCTGTGTGTCTCTCTCTCTCTCTCTGTCTCTCTCTCTCTGTCTCTCTCTCTCTCTCTCTCTCTCTCTCTCTGTCTCTCTCTCTCTCTCTCTGTCTCTCTCTCTCTCTGTCTCTCTCTCTCCCTGTCTCTCTCTCTCTCTGTCTCTCTCTCTCTCTCTCTCTCTCTCTCTCTCTCTCTCTCTCTCTCTCTCTCTCTCTCTCTCCTCTCTCCCTCTCTCTCTCTCGCTCTTTCACGCTCTCTCTCTCTGTCGCACATTTTCCGAGGGTTTATTCTTGCCTGGGCACAAGGAAAGCAGCAAAGTGCTGGGTTGCCAGGCAACAGGGTTGATCTGTTAAAGTAAACCAGCAGTGGCTATACTAAGAGTTAGAAATTTTATAATTTCTGTACCTGTTAATGGTGAATGTAACATTGCAGTGAGAGGCTTATTCTGGCAACTATTGCATATGTGCAGTTGTCCTCTCCCATGTTGGTTTCAGTTTATTTGGATAATGAATCCCCATAAGCTTTATTTGTCATTGTACTTTTATTATTACTGTATTACCCTTTCAGCCACTTGACTGTGGGAGTAGCTGATAAGGTGCCACTTGGTCTTTCTGTACAGACTGCCCTGCTCTGTGTTTGTTGACCGTGAGTCTATGTTGTGTCTTTAGCTGGTTGTCTGCTTTGGAGAGCACCAAGTGGCTGCAGCATTTGTCTCTGTTGCTGAAAGCCGCTCTGCTAGTGGTGAACGCAGTGGACCGAGACCAGAGACCCGTGCTAGTGCACTGCTCAGATGGCTGGGACCGTACCCCTCAAATAGTGGCCCTGTCTAAACTCCTACTGGACCCTTACTATCGTACAATTGAGGTGAGCTCAACCATTAAAAGAAATAAAGATTTATTTATTTATTTATTTATTTATTTAATAAATGACTGTGCAGGGTTGATAAGATATGTGAAGCTAAAAAGAATCCATTTAAATTCTGGAGAGGGAGAGGGAGAGAGAGAGAGAGAGAGAGAGAGAGAGAGAGTATTTGTATATGTGTACATATGTACACACATACACACTGAGCACTTTATTAGGAATGCTCTACTGATACTGGGTAGGGCCTTCTTTGCTTTCCAAACAGCCTGATTCTTTGTGGCATGGATTCCACAAGTTGTTGGAAACTTTCCTTTGAGATTCTGGTCCATGTTGACATAATTGTATCATGCAGTTCCTGCAGCTTTTTCAGGTGCACTTTCTTGCAGCAAATCTCCCATGCTACCACATCCTGAAGATGTTCTGTTGGATGCAAATGGTGACTGGGAATGCCACAAAAGAACATTGAACTCATTGTCTCATTGACTTGTGATTTGTGATATGGTGCATTATCATGCTGAAAGTAGCCATTAGATACCTGGAGATCAGCAGTTACAGAAATACCCAGACCAGCCCATCTGGCACCAACAATCATGCCGCAGTCACCATCACAGAGATCACATTTTTCCTTATTCTGATGGTTGATGTGAACATTACCTGAAGCTGCTGACCCGTATCTGCATGATTTTACGCACTGCATTGTTGTCACACGATTGGCTAATTTGCATAAATGAGTAGTTGTATAGGTGCTCTGTGTGTCTGTCTGTGTGTATCTGTGTGTGTGTGTGGAAATTTATATGGTTATACAGTATGGAAACCAAACTCCATTATTCTCCAGGGTTTTCAAGTTCTAGTGGAAACAGAATGGCTGGATTTTGGCCATAAGTTTGCTGACCGCTGTGGTCATGGGGAGAACGCAGAGGATCTGAACGAGCGCTGTCCGGTGTTTCTGCAGTGGTTGGACTGTGTGCACCAGCTCCAGAGACAGTTTCCCTGCTCCTTCGAATTCAATGAGGCTTTTCTGGTGAGGGGCACTGCAGTTTTCTAGAGTTAAGATAGATAGCCCTGCTGTATTTGATTACAGTCAAATTGGATATCAAAAGAAATTGAGTGTATTGCTGGCGGAGTAAGGTTAATCTGCTCAGCATAGTGAATTGGTAGCGCTTATACAAATGGCCTAAATATCTGTGAAACACAGTTATAACTAACTTACATTAAGGGCTGTTGTAATGACACTTAAATGAATCTGTTTAGCTTGAATCAGAAAATATGCCAATTCTTTTTATTTCAGTATAGCAAACCATTGTTTTGTATGTGTCTGTGTGTCGTGTGTTTAGGTGAAACTGGTGCAGCACACATACTCGTGTCTGTTTGGCACATTCTTGTGTAACAGTGGGAAGGAGAGAGAGGACCAACACATCCAGGAGAGAACCTGCTCTGTGTGGTCTCTGCTGCGCCCAGCAAATCGCTCCTTCAAAAACATGCTGTACTCTTCACACTCGGAGACTGTACGTCTTTTATTGTTGCTTTTTGCTTTTGTCTCCTTTTTTCTTTCATGGTTTTCAGTCCATTCTTTTTCTCCTTAACTCAGTAAACTTATTTATTTTGGAACAACAGCGCCCCTTTCTTGTCCCTGACACCCCTCTCTTTAGTTCTCACACATTCCATCCACATTTTAATTGCTCTAATTGCTACGTCCAGACTTGTGTAAGAAAACAATAGAAGGGAAGGATAGACACATTACTTTAAGCCAGGATAGCATGCATTTATTCCACTCTTCTACTTGTGGAAAAAGAGCTCCAGGTTCCTCCTTAACTCAAAGTTTTTTTTTGGGGGGTTTTTTTTTTTGGAAGTTGTGTTTTTGGTCTAGTGTGTTTTTCATTTTTATTTATTTATTTTTTTCAACAGTGTTTGTGCTGTATGAATGTATGTTTTCAGAGGATAATTGATGACTTCTTGTTCTTCCACTCGTACAACTCATCCTTCCACGTTGTTTTTGTATTGTGACGTTAGGAGATACCGTATGAGAAACAGTGTGGCCAGATTTCCATTGACTCCCTCATTTATCTCTTTTCTCCTGTCGGCCTTGCCCAGGTTTTGCACCCTGTGTGCCACGTGCGTAACCTGATGCTTTGGACGGCAGTGTATCTTCCCAGCTCTTCACCTACGACCCCCTCTGATGACTCCTGTGCCCCTTACCCTGCGTCCGGTGCCAACCCTGAAGACCAGCCTCTGGGCAGGTAAGCCTGCCATCCAACACAGCCTGTGGCATGAAATAGTCAGGCACATGGTGATGCAGGTTTTTCAGTGATGAGGTTGAGGTTGCTGGCTTTTTTCATAGGCTTCCATAGTGATTAAAGTTTATTTGCATTTGGTAATTAAACAATCTCAAAATTCCTGAATTACACATTTGTAAATTGTTACGAGACTTCACAACAGAGCCTCAAGTTCAGAGTGTTGACTTTTCACTGAGCTATTTGAAACTATCTCTACGTGGAAGCCTTTTGAACAAGTTTTTGATTTCTTTTTTCCCTTCAACAGGCGTCCCAAGACACGATCCTTTGATAATTTGCCTAGTGCTTGTGAAGTTGGAAACTCCCTGCCCACAAACAGACGATCCAGTGACCCTAGCCTGAATGAGAAGTGGCAGGACCATCGCAGGTCACTGGAACTCAATATCGGAGCGGCACCTGATGGTACTGTGCCACAGGACCCAGAAGGGAGGGCCAGTGGCCAACTGGGGGCTGAACTTAACGGAGCCTCACTCGATGGGGAAACTGAGGAAGGGGAGGGTTTTCGGGATATAAATTATGTGAGGTTGCCAATGGGGGAGGGAGTGGAAGCAGAGCTCTCGGTGGGTGTGGCAGTGGGTCAGATGGAGAACATTCTTCAGGAGGCTGCAGCAGACAGCCTCAGAGACGTTAAAGCAGACAGTGCTATCAACACTGCTGCTCTCAGTGGTGCTGAAAATCAGAACAGTGCTGATGCTAATCCAGTCGAAACTGATAGAAATTGTGTAATCAGTGGGTTTGAGATACAGCTAGAAAGTAATGCTAATGGTGGCAGTGCAGAAAGTACAAAAGAAACAAAGCTGAATGGACTCCATTCAGAGGCTGTGAATGAGAAGCCATGTCAGTCAGAGGCTCAGCTACCTCATGGCCTGGGCGATCGGAATGCCCTGGAGAGCCAGGAATCAGATGAGCCGGTGGAGGAGGTTTCGAAATGCACCACAGAGGAGGCTCTAAACCTTCCTTGCACTCTCAATCCCACTCACTTCCCCTCCACTGCCCTCAGGACTATGACTAATGGCTATGGGGAGAAGGGTAACGCGCCTGGCCCTGGTCTAGAGACTATTAGGCCTATTTCAGAGACTCTGGAGCAGGCTGCAGAGAAACGTCTCTCTCTTCTGGAAAGCTCCACAGAAACCCTCACTGAGGACCTGGGTGTCCGGTCAGAGACTCTTGGTCCAGCCCCTGTACCCTACAACCTGCACCCTCAATCGAATCCACGTGCCTCAAACACCACGGCCCTGAGGTGGAGGCCGACTCCCAAGGTGCTCCCAGAACTCTGAACGGCACCTCCAAGCGCCCGTCCCTCAGTGCCTTTCCTTCCTCCTCCGCCTCGGCCGAACCTCTCCACCCAGTGTGTAACGGGGACTCCTCCGAGCCCGAGGCCTCCACTCCTCAGTGGGCCAGAGCCAACGGGGACCGTGCCCCCTTGAGCCGGCAGGTTTCCCTGGCCAGTTGTGGCTCGCTCACAGGGCAGCTCCACGCACGGGGCAGCTGCTCGCACCACCGCTGCCTGCACTCGGCGCTGCTGGTACGGCCGCCCACCAGCCCCCCACAGGAACCGCCCTCAGCCCGTAACCACCTGGATGAAGACGGCCTTACACTCCACACGGACGCTGTGCAGCAGCGGCTGCGGCAGATCGAGGTCGGCCACCAGCTGGAGGTGGACTCCCTGAAAAGGCAGGTGCAGGAGCTGTGGAGCCGACTGGAGAGTCAGCAGGCTGTGGGGATGCTGCGCCTCAATGGAGAGTTGGGAGATGAAGTGGTGAGCACTTTGTTTATAAGGGAAGAATAGGCAGTTCTTTTTAGTTTCACTTTGCACAATGAAACTGATGCTTCACAGTTTAATTGTTTTTGCAAAGAGTTGATTTCTTTGATCCAAAATCTGTTCTACTTGATAACTACTTTGACGAGCTATTTGAGTAGTAGTTTAGCGAAAATCAAATTTACTTGATTTTCCCCTTATGCCAAATTCAGTCATCAGCACGTTGGATATAAATACTTTTCATAGCTTAACACAGTGGTAGCAGCCAGCTTGAATTTTGGCTGTACATTTGCCCTTTTTTTTTAATAGATAACAGTATGTAACAGTATGTGACAGTACGTCACAGAGTGCCAGAAACCATGTAAGCAAGTCCAGTTGAGATTACATTGTACTCTGTAGTTTGATGCAAGCAGATGATGACAGTGGACGGGTCTTTTTTTAAAATATTTTGGAGACCAAGGCACCTTTTTTCTGCTGTATTATGCACTGGACGCCTTGTCTTTTATGTGCCCTACGTGGCTGTGTTATGTGCAGAATGCTCTGGGTGCCCTAAGTTAGAAAAATTTGAACTCGAAGCATTTAAGTATCCTATGTGGTAAGCTTTTTTGTGCGTTGACGAATCAGATTAAAGGAGGGGGGGCTTCAGTTACAGTGGCACTGAAAGAGGGATTAGTGATTGCGGCCCTTCACAGATGTAAATCGTGACAAACAAAAAGCAGTTTTTTTTGTAGCTGAGCTTGTTTTTGCCAACAGCACCACATTTGGTAGTACTGTTTGCCTTACATGTCAAAGTAATAGCTTGCTAGCACAATTGGGGTCTTATCAGTCCAGGGCTTGAGTTTTCAAACAAGTTTTTTGTAGTTATCTACAAGTAACAAGCAAGAAGTTTGGGTAACTTTAGCTAGCCAGTTAGCTATCGCTAACCCCCAAGCACAAAAAGCAAACTTTAAACACCAATCATTTCTTAGCTGTTCGTGAACATTTGGAGTAAAGAGAAATTTGTGTGAATTTGTTGTTTGTCGAACTATTAATGTTCAGAATTTTTCTTTGCATTTAACTCCTTAATAAAGGAGTCTTTAATTCAACTGCCTTTTGTATTTTTGTACATTTGTACATAGCCAAGATCCTTTATCATCCTTTTTTGGTGGTCAAAATTTTTACGTTCTTTCTTCTGGAATTTCATAATTTTCATAAAGCTCTGTCCATCCATCCATCTAGGACTCCATCTAGCAAAAAAAGCTGAAAATGGATCAAGCTCCTGGGCTGGAGATTGGAAATCAGCCTGAAAATCTTGTAGTGTTTGCACAGATTAATGTGATTTTCTTCTTTTCCACGACTTATTCACTCTTTCCTCTCTCCCATTGTCAGACCTCAATCGCAGATTCGGACTTTAATCTTGATCCAAACTGTCTGTCGCGCTGCAGCACGGAGCTCTTCTCTGAGGCCAGCTGGGAGCAAGTGGACAAGCAGGACACAGAGGTAGCACACTCATGAACAGTGGACAGAAAATAACTATCATGAAAGAATTAAAGCATAGTTATTGTTCTTTTGTCTCTTTGGTCTCCAGCGAGGAAGTTTAATATAAAATGACGGAATAAGATGCAAAAAATACTGAAGCAGTTAAAACAGTGAAGATGGTTAAAATTGTGTTTGCATGTGCTGTAGGTGACCCGATGGTACCCTGATCATCTAGCTGCCCAGTGTTACAGCTGTGAGAGAGGATTTTGGCTGGCCACAAGAAAGCACCATTGCAGGTAACAGCACAGGCATGAAAAGCTGTTTTTTCCCCTTCTTTTTCTTCTTCTTCGCTGTCCTGTAAGTCATTCTCTCTTGTTTCTTTGTGCGCACTGTAAGAACCTGTAGCGATAACTGAGGCTGGATCTTCCTAACATGGTTTTATACACAGGGAAATTTCACTCTTAGGCTCTGAATTGCCTTACTTTGAATTGGTCAGCACACAGGTCTGTTCAGAGAGAAATTGAAATGAAAGCTGAATTCCTAATTTATTCATAAATAACTTTCTGCTGAATGTGTGCACATCTGTGTGTAAACAGAACAACCACCACTAAGTAAACAAACTAGCTGATGAATAATCATGTAAACATGTACACTGCAAGTACTTGCCAGAAAAACACATCCTGTCACTGTGTAATCAGCCATATGGCCAAGTACCATTGAACAGGTTCTTTGTAAACGTTTCTGTGAATACATACGGTGACGGCATTTTGAGCCGATAATGTTCGCAGTCCTTAAGGAGACTGCAACAGCTAAAAAGGCTTTTAGCAGCAGCTTTTCATTTTTTCCCTTTTTCACAGAAGCAAGGAGCATGTGGAGGAGGCCTGGTGAGAAAAAGACACACACTCAGACACTGTTCTTTCTCTCCCTGACTCTTTCTCCCACCCTTATGTTCATCTCTCACTCCCTCTTTACCATCTTTTTAGTGACATGCTGCTTCAGAGTGAGACCTCCCTTTTCTCTGTCATCCCTTCATTCGGCTAAAGTCAGCTCTCTCTTTCAGTGTAGCTGTGATCCCAGATCTCTAAAACGACCATTGCTAATATTCAGAGCGGAATGGATTAGGATGGGCAGCACAATTTTTGGTTTTCAAGCTCAGTTTTGGGATATAAACCTGTCAGAAAAAAGCTCTGCAAGCTGTTGGGGCGTCTGCTGGAATGCTGAAATTAAGACTGATCGGAGAATAATGAGTATGTTTACATGTACCAAATGATCTGATAACAGCAGAAAATCAGACTTTTGGCATTCATTCCTCGTTCATCACATTTACAATGTTTTCTTTTTAAATACACACGCACCTCTGCCGTTGCTTAGCAGCTCGGCAATAAACATAAACCAAAGAAATACAGCATGTGACGTAAAATTTTGACTTGTGCCACACTTCTCTTTTAAACATGAAGGCACTTTCCTGGAAGTGTGAGGTTTTTATGGTTCTAGATTGCACATAAATGCAGCCATTCGTCGCGTGTCATGGTCGTGGTGTTGAAGTGTTTAGTGTTTGCTGGTTCTCTGGCAGCTCTTTATCTGGTTTTCTTTGCACGCATTTGCTGATGTAGAAAAACTAAAGAAATCAGATTAATGGTATACATTCTTGAGCTAAAATTTGGGATTTCATAAAATTTGACAGCTAGTTTTATCCAGACTAAGAAGTCTGAGTATGTTGTTTACATGGCCATCTGAGTAATTGGGTAACTGCCAAAATCAGATAATTGTTGTTAGGGGTGGGAATCTCAAGGCACCTCACGATTCGATTCGATTACGATTCAGAGGGCTGCGATACGATTATAAAACGATTATCGATGCATCTTTTTTTTCTATACATCATTTCTATTTTCTCACTGTGTGAGGACTTGGTAATTTTAAAGCAAAGTATTTGTAATGATCCACAATGAATTTACTTCCAATATCTTTTATTAATAAATCAAATGGAAGTGATGTGGCAAGTGAACTAGAAGGCTCTCATTCACTGCCTTTGGAGCACATGAGACGCTGCTGCCAGTCATGAGAGACTGTCAAACAGTAAAAAGTTGCAAAGATGAAGTCGCTTCTCTTCCAAATTTTCTCGAATGGGAAAATTCAAACAAGAAGCTGGCGAATGAGAAGCGACTTCAGCCTCGTAAAACAGCCGAATGTTGAGAGACATTTTACAAGAAACTGCTCTAGTTTTGAGGAAGATTTTTCTGGCGGAAAGGGGAGGAAAGCGGCTAAAGCTAAAGCTTAAAGCAGAGTAGAGTAAGTCTGCGTTTTCGTTTATATTGTTTAGTCTATACTAAGACATCACATACTGAGACATACTGGACATTAAATGTTGTGGCTCCCAAGGTGGTTTGATTTTTGTTGAATGACAAAATGGCTCTTCTTATCATTTGTGTTGACTCCTGATCTAACCTGGCTTTAATGCAGGGGGAGCCTGTCGGATTTCTCGCTCATCCAGTTTTGTTTTTGTTATGTGCTGCCACAGACTGTCCGGGCGTTGCACTTACCCACTTCCAAGTTCCGCCTTTTGCGTTCCGTCAACATTACGTTATAAATTAAATACTTAGAAAATAGATTTTTGACATTTGTGAATCGATTCAGAATTGTTCACGTCCGCATCGCAATGCATCTAAGAATTGATTTTTTCCCACACCCTTAATTGTTGTATAGTTGGTTTGCATGTAAACGCACTCGCTGTCAAACATTTCTGAGATCATCTGAAGCCAAATGTGATTTATGAAAGTTTGTTGTAAAACTGTGAATATTTTTGTGAGGTTTTCATGGTTTCAAATTATATGTAAAGTGTTTTTTTGTCGCATGTCATGGCTGAAGATTTTAAAATTAGCGTTTACTGGTTTGCAGGCAGCTCTTCTCTGAGTCTGTTTGCGTGCGTTCACAGATGTAGAAAAACAAATTAGTTAAAGGATATACGTGTGCTGAAAAACACGATTATTAAGCTAAAATCTCGGATTTCTTAAAATCCAAAAACCGGTTTTATTTCTGATGTAAGTAATGAGAGTATGTTGTTTACTTGATGCCATGAGTAATCAGGTAACTGCTGAAATCAGATAATGATCGTAATTTTGGTGTGCATGTAAACGCACTCACTGAAAAATGTTTCAGATTATCTGAAACCAAACATGATTTACGAAATTTGTTGACACTGTGAATATTTGTGATTGGGATTTGTTTCTCAAAACGTGCCGTTTCTGAACTGTTGAGAAGAAGCCGATGGAGAGGTGTGCGAGAGTGCATGTGAATTTGTGCGAGTATTGTATGAACAGAACGTGCATGACTGTACATGTGTGTAGTGGTAAGAGGGCGCATGGTTGTTTTCTGGTTCGTTGTGTGACATCACATACACACAGCTTTAAGAGTTGTCAGTTTTCTGCACCTGTTAATTAGCCTAAACTCTTGTATTTAATTTGAATTTGCATGAGGCTGTACTACATTTGGCTATTAAACAGACTGAATGCTCACTAAATATAAAGTTGCCTTATGTATAAGTGGCACTCATTTAACCTCATTGTTTTGCAGCATACGTCCGTGAAGAGTGACTGAAACCCTTTGTTTGATTGAAAAATCAGTAGTGTTTAACATGCTGGGCGTGGGCAGCTGCGAAAGCGGGTGTAATTTTGGCATGAATGATATCTGATTCAGTTTTGCTTTTCTCTCTGCCCTCCTACTCCTCCTATCCCTCATGCTTTCTCGATCCCATTTTCTTGAATTTTCCCTCTCTGACACCCCCTGCAGGAACTGTGGGAACGTGTTCTGCGCCAGTTGTTGTGATCAGAAGATCCCTGTGCCAAGCCAGCAGCTGTTTGAGCCCAGCCGGGTGTGCAAGACATGTTACAGCAGCCTGCAGGCCCCTGCTCCTCCCCTGGAGCTGGAGCTGGAGCTGGACAAACCTATCACCACTAGCTCCAACTAGCCCTGCCACAGGACTTCTCTGCTCCCCAACACACGGCCTGAACATGCAGAACTGCTGAGGAACTGAGGGACGACCAGTAGAAGGTTCCAGAGACTTATCCTTGGTCACAGCAGATAGAAGCTCCAGTTGTTATTAATATTTGTATTTTCTTCCCCACCTGAAAGGGATTTGTGTGTGTATATATAGAGTGGGATGTGCCCGGTGGATGTGGCTGCAAAGATTCTAAGCACTTTGGGTGTCACGTTTGTACAAGTGACGGCTGGCTTTGGTAGTTATGAAACGCACAGATATTTAGTGAACTGCTGAAGGTATTGGTGAAGGCGAGGTTGGAGTATGATTGTGCTGAAAGCTTGGTTTCTTTCTCTTTTTTTTCTCCCCTGAAATTGAAAGCAAAGCTTGCCTGGCTGACTGCTGCAGAGGAGAAAAGGGGCCATTTCTGAGTGGCTGTCGACCGTGAATCTGATTGGAAGATGTTCTCTTTCTGTAGGCTTTTCTGTCATCATCTCATTAAGATGTGATTTTTCACTGCTGGACTTTGGACTGATGGTTTCTGGTGCTTCATGAGGGAGATGACAAGGCTTCGGTTCTACTCCTAGCTTTGCTTTGAGTGTTGATTATAGTGCTGCTCTCTATAGACAAAGCTTTTTTCTCAAAGCACTACCAGAGACTGACTGGTACTCCATAGATGCTTCACTTTTTAGTTTTGGCGGGGGGTGAGGGGAGGGGTTTGAGGTCTTGAGTAAACGGGTGGTCTTAAAGCAAAAAATGGTTAATTAATGAATTAATTTGTATACCTAGTTTGCCCCTTATTTGAATTTGACTAAGATTATTGAGGTTGCACAGCAGTCCATATATGGTCAGTGCTGTTTGCGATGTTTGTCACCACACAGCTTGGAAAATCCTCAACACAGACAGACTCTCTGGACTTTCAGCGCAGTTGCCACTTTCAAATAGTTCATAATTTTCTGGTAAGTGATAGCAGGTAAATGGATGCCTGTGCTCAGATACACCTGCATCCATCCTCCATTTATTTTTTGGCTACTTGTGATGAATCAGTGATGCCAGTTTTTCTCCTCTAGAGGGCGCTGTTGGTTTTATGATCTGCTGTGTCATTTCTTCAGTTCAGTGAAGATGATGCATTTTTTTTCCTTGCAGAATACCCTCTCATGCTTATTAGCCACTTAACAACATCCTCACTAATACATTTTTGTAACATAATGCAAATTATATAATATATAAAAATGAAAGATATAGCATTTAAGGAAAAATAAATTGTATAGAATTCTTGAATAGTGGCTCACAAAATTAGTCACCAAAATGTCAGTTGTGTTTGTTTTTCCTGAGTTGTAGCAATATTTTGTCCTTTTTTTTATTTTGGTGATCGCTAAAAGAAATTACAGTGAGGAGAGGGGAGTTTTGTTTGAAATGCTGCAGTAAGGTCCCCAATATTTTCCTGGCAGGAGTTACATGAATATTTATTATTGACTTTATTTTTTTTGAGTTTTATGTTCAATCCTGACAATTCATTTGCCACAGGATAATCAGTGTTTGATGAGTAGAGGAAGTCTGACTGGTGACTTTATTGTATGAGCTGGCTATGCACTGAGAAGTGACCCCAAATGACTCAAACCCATTTACACATTTTCACATGGCCTACTTTAGGTCTCTTATTTGATCATTCACACAATCAGGATGCATTTATCATAGACACCTGTCATTTTTCAGTCTATCACATCATTTTTAATTACCCTAATAGCCTCAACTAAATGACTCTTCTTTAAAGACTGCCAGCATTCAGAGACTTTCTGACTCCAGTCAACACCAGCTGCAAACAGAGTTTTAACTACTTTAAAGGATGAGTGTTTTTCATCTGTTGCTCTGCTGGACTGCAGTTTTTCCCCTAGAATGACTGAACTATTGGTTTAGTCTTATGGGGTCCATATGGACAGTCAGGAAGACTCAGCTGTCACTGGTGGACTGAGTAGCAGGTGGTCGCTTGATCTATGAATGACTTAACATTAACATCAATCCGTGAATGTGAATTTTTTTTTTCTTCAAAAGAGAAAATTCCATGGTTTATTTTTTGCACAATGATAACCATTCAGAAATAGACACTGTCACAAACTTATATGATAATAAATCTGAACATGAAACTCCATGTTGTTCTCTTCAAAATAACTGATTCATAATCTGTTCGCATTGTTTTCAGTGTGTTTGTGCTATGACCATAATAATAATAATGCAAGAGAAACATTCATTCAACTTTAGAATGTTTAATTTACTTCAACATGTTTACAAAAAACAAAAGAAAAGCATTTTTGTTAGTTTTAAAACATCAATATGTATAACAATCCATATCAAGTTGGATACATGACAGGACTTCCCAGAACTGAGGAAGAAGGTACTCATGCGTATGATGTGAACACTCAAGTATTTGCTTAAAATTTGTGATTACAAAAAAAAGGGGGGAGCAGGGCTGTAGCTGTGCTTGTTATCCCACACGATAAGGAAGCAGTAATAGTTCTTATACAAACCCTGAGGGCTACTGGACATTAATTTCACCATACAGCATAACAGGACGTCTGTACACTAAGCAGCGAAAATTTCCAGAAGAGCCCAGTAGACTTCTTGGAGTCAACAGTGTGTCAGTAAAAGCTAATAATCTGTTTATACTGTATCAACAAAATGCTATACGATTACTGTAACAGCACAAGGACACTTGTAGCGAGAACATGACCTGTCTCTTTTTCAAAAAAGTTCTATAAGCTTAGAGTTATATTAGCATAAATATATGCAGTGTGCAGTTAGGTTATGTCTGTCGTTTAGCTCTTACAAAATTGTCAGACAAAGGATTTGACAGACAATATTGGAAAAGCAGCCAGCTTAATTGTGATGACCATTATAGCAGACATGAGAAAGTGAAAACAGCTTTTCTGTAGGAAACCATTGTTTTAACTATATATAAACACGTTTTGTTTTTTTCATAAAAAATAGACCTGGCTATATCATTCACCTATCATACCTTTAAACTAATATAAAAGTTGGAATCAATATATTTACAGTAATGAGGTGCTATGCATTTTTAACTAGTTAAGGGCTTCATCATTATTAGGTATTGTTTACAGCCTTACGCTAATCAGGGGCCTTCACCATCAACCACCATTATACGTAAATATGTGAGCAAAATGTCTAGGTGCAAGTATATTTGGACAACAGCTAAGGAAAATATTACAACATGGTTCTGCTCACATTACAGGCAATGGCATGATGAAATAGCTGTGTTAAAAGAGGGGCCTGTAAAATGGCATGTCCATCCGTGCTGGGAGTGGACGATGGCTCTTACTCCAGCTGTCCAGGGCGCTCTCACACTGAAGACTGGTCCCACACCTACACCAGCACCAGGACAGAGAGGTCACACAGTTCAGCAGGCTGCCCGCTCTGCCTCAGAAACACTAACGTTACTAACGGACGGAACGAGCCTCACCAAGTCACAGTGAATTACAGTTACGTTTCCAGGAACTTAACTAGGATCTCATCACTATTTTTTTTCTCTTTTTATTTTTTTTTTTTTGCACGAATGTTTACAACACGTCTACAGGTTCTTAAGAGTATTCTCTGTCAGGCACAGGAGAGTGTGCACCTCATGTTTGCACAGGGTTCTAAACTACTACAAAGGATCAGATCAGTATTATGTACTGATGTACGGCAGCTTAAATCCTGACCTTTATGGCGCTAGAAGGACACGCAGTTAACATGGCAGTGCTTCATGCGTACCTTGTTGACGGGTGTGAGTTGGGTGCGGACTGAGCTAGTGTGCAGGCGTGAGCGCTCCCTGTCTCTCTCGCGCTCGTCGAATGCCCGTCCCGGCGACCTCTCCCTGCGGCTGTCCAGCACGGCGCGCCCCGGAGACTTCTCCCTGTCCAGCGGCCGGGCCGGAGACTTGTCCCTGCGGAACTCAGTGCGGCCTTCACGGTAACGGTGAGGCGTGCTGGGCTCGCGGTGCAGACCGCCCTCTTGGGCCCCAGGCCCTGAGGCCAGCCGCTTTGAGATGTGTTCGTTGTACGTTGGTGGACCACGCTTGTTCGGGCTGCTGTGGAGATCAACATATCAACAGGTCATCAAAAACTGCTCCCCTGGGCTAAATAACCAGTGACCGTCTATAGCAGGGGTCATCACTTCTGGTCCTGGAGGGCCAGAGTCCAGTACATTTTCCTGCTCAAGCATACAGTGTGAAGTTTGGGCACCTGGTCAAATCAGGTGTTTTTTTGATTTTCTAAGTCAAAATAAATACACATCCTCTACAAAGAACCGCTCTGCACATTTTAATGCACAGTTACTGTAGATTTGCTGAATTTAACACACTGGGGGAAAAAAACATAAAATCTAGCCTGTGCAAACGTTATAGCATATTTTGTTTTTTCTCCAATATGTTAGAGAAATAAATAGAAAGCAGCAAAATAGACATTCTACACTGTGGCAAGGTAAACACTAAATACTTCAAACAGGTAGAAATAAGGTGTATTTGTGTATCTATATATACACACAGCTGTAACCAGTCATTCCTAATCAATCCCTAATTCCATTGTGAATTCAGTCCACTTTTATTTATATGGATCATTCTCCTGAACTGGTTTTAAGTCAAAGCTGAAAACACTTTTCAGACTTCTAACTGACTTGGACTTTAGACCCTTTTGTTTTGAGTGACCCTATAGCTCAATTATGTTTATTAAAACAAATGACTGAACATTCCATTTTCTCACTATCAAAACAATCGGAACACACATGAAACTTTACCAAACATTGAGGTGGTGGCAATTTGATCTAATTGAGAGCAGAACTTAAAAATGCTAGCCAGCACATGACTAGCAAACAGAGCTTTTAACAAACGTACACACACAAAATCATATTTTTATTAAAACATAAAAAAGTTTACTTAAACAAAACAATGGGATCTAACTGCTCAGCATGTGGCCATGAGGGATGGGGATGCAGTCTCACTTCCTGCTCTAAAATGCAGGGGTGTGGCTAAAATAAGTCTCCACCTATTGACTAAAACCGTGTTTCAGTAGTGACACGAAAACGTGGGTCAGCATTTTTATGAATAAAGTTTGTTATTTAAAATGTACACTCAGGAAATATAAATCTTTAAATGACAATTATAAAACTATAAAATACCTCTGTAATCTATAACTTTATAAAACCTATAATACTTTAAATGAAATTTAAAAAATAAGAAAAACAACATTGAAACAAATATTGACTTTGTACGTTCTTAGCTTATTACTACCTCACTCTATCATTACATAATCCTTGTAAATATCCAAGGTCTGAATACTTCTTATATATATATATATATATATATATATATATAAAATCACACATACATACATACATACATACATACACACACACATACTGTGGGAGTGCAGTCCAGTAGAACAGTCCATATAACATTTTTTACAGCAGACATTTTCACCAAAGCAGCCTTTCAGAAATTCTGACCCCTAATGTGCAAGTTGAAGCTGACCATAACGAAGAAAGACTAATAAGTGTGATTTGTACCTCCTGCTGGAGCCCGTCCGCTGCAGCTCGCCGGACTCTCGCACCAGGTGGCCCTTGCAGCAGATCACCCTCAGCTTGTTCTGGTAGGAGGAGGCCAGGTAGATGGCACCTGACGAGATGGCTGGACCCAGGTAGCGTGGGTTAGGGATGTCCAGGTGAGCAAGTGCAGGAGGCCTGAACACACAGAACATTTAACATCTTTCACATCAGCTAATGGAGAACGCTGAGTATCTGCTCTGAGCTGTGGCGGTTTGTAACGTACCCGAGAGCAGCATGTCCCTGAAGCTCAATAACATCAAGCGAGTTGAAAAAGGTCACAAACAGGTAAGGCTCTCTGAAGGCTGAGGACCAGAAAAGAGTGAAATATTAAAATACTAATTAAACTATTTGAGTGTATTTTACATAAGAGAGCAGCACAGGCTCTGTCTGAACGTGCTACACTCAAGACAATTTGATTATGCTGTTACCAAAGGTCAGAGGAAGACGACTCCATTTGAGTTCATCTGAGCGGCTCCGGCGGCCGTAGGCATCCACAAACACTCCAAACTCTGCCAGTGCCAACAAACATTACATGTGCATATTTATTTGGCATGGGTCATTCCATATGTCCACTCATCTAAGGCCTGATAAGTGGCATCATAAAAAGAATTCAGGCAAAAACCTCTGTTTAGTCATGCAACCATGCAGAGTTTCAAAGCTGCGTTCCAGATTCTTAGACATGAACTTTTAAAGGTTAGATCTAAAATACTGAGTTTAACTGCTTACATAGTGACTGAACTGAGCTGAAATATTTACTGCGTATAAACACAACCCTAAGAATGGTCCTTTTCATATCAGCTGGATTCACGTCATTAAATTTCCACAACATATTGATTTATTGGAGGGTGTATATTTTTTATGTCAGTATTAAATCTTTCAACTTTTCAGTCAGATTTAGAAAATAGTTTCGCAAAATGTAGGTTTGACATAATATTCCTACATTTCTTGTACAATGTATGAATTATTCATTTCTGCACACAGTATTTAAAAGCTACACCATGAGTTTAAAAACCTCTTTTTAGATTCTGTGTGTAATAGACACAAAAACAAATTTAATATAGTATCTCACAGAAAATGAATATAAATGATTAAATATACAAATGATAAATTCCTGGTTCATTTGGAAATCCATTTAATCATTTATAGGTTTGATGAAAATGTATGAATACTACATACAGCTTAACACTATGCCGTGCTGGAATACTACAAAACTCACTGCAAGATTCCAAAGAATTAAGATTTCATGCTCTGACAAACCAAACCATCCAATAAACTGAAGTGTTGTCAGATTACATTAACATGATTTAAAGTGAATTAAACTTTTCCAATTTTTCACAGAAATCTATCACGTCACTTGTCTGGCCAAGAGAGCCTCACATTAAGTGACTTAGAATTTTGACTTGGTGGAAGTTAATTAACCAGAAATGTTCATATTTATGCATTTTAGTCTACAGAACAAGAACTCAACTGAACGAGAAGTTAAACAAGAAGTGAGTGGTAAGTAGACGTGCATCTGACCATGGAAGCAGAGCAGGTACTCCTCTTTCTGAGGGGTGCTGGACACCTGCATGATGGCGATGGGGAAGCTGTAGGAGGACGTGGTAAACATGGCTGAAGCCAGAGACACGTCATTCTTGTCCAGGAACTCTGTGAAACAGCACACAAAGCCTGATGACTTTTTGTGTTGACTTGTTTTCCCATAAATTACTCTGCTCTGTTCTTGAAGGCTCTAATGCAAGGGCGGAGCTTGACATTCTACACCCACTGAGAAGAGTTTAAACCAAAGCAACACATCATTATAGTAGTTTGTGTGTTTGTGACCATGCCTTCAACATGCTGTCCTGAGAGAAGAGATTATATGACTGTAGGAGAGGTCAGAGCAGGAGGTCAGTAGGCTAGAAAGCCGCTGTGATGAACAGAGGAATGGGGAGGAGATCTGGTGCAAAAATGTATTCACTGAAAACGGAAGGTAGTGATGGAAATATGAGGGAAGATGAGAAGGAGGAGTAGTTTCAGGCAAAGTCCACTTCCCAAACTTTAGCTTTTTCATAACTCTTCAGCTTTAAAAAGCACAAAACTGGCATCTACAATCTCTTGCATGTTCCTGGACACCCTGATTCATCCAGAGTTTTGCCCCTCTTATGGTGGCCCTGGTAGTGCTGCATGATGGTGCCCCCTGGTAGGGCTCCATGATACTGCCCCTTGCAATACTGTTCACCAAAATCTGCAGATGAGCTCTCTAACAAGTTAAGTTTTTTTCACTGTGTGCAGATGTGTAGGTTTTCTTCACAGCTCTCACCACGTTTCTGTCATCAACTGCTGTTTTTTTTTTGGCCAGCCTGTTCGATGTCTGGTTGTTAGTACACCCCAGTGTTTTTTCCAGTACATCCCTAATTATTGCCCAATTCTTGTGCAATGGCTCTGATCGATTTTTCCTCTTTTCTCAGTGTCAAAATGGCTTCATCTTTTTAACAAAAATGCAGTCTTCCCTGGGTTATAGGAGTTTCATTTCATCCCTGGGTTTCACTAATTCTTTAAATTATTCTGAGCTAACATCTCATCTTCTGATCTCAAACTCAAATGTTTTTAGTGCAAAACTAAAAGAATCAGCCTTGCTCTTCCAATACCTTTACAAGAGACTCAAAGTATTAATATTCAAATACAAGTATTTTGAACATATTGTGCTGCTCTAGCTCCTGGCTGTATGAAAGTGACAAGTATCTTCTTTTCAGTGTTATGTCGGTGCAGTGTCAAGGCTGTGACCTTACAGCAATAGTTTTATATGAGAAAGGAACATTTTATATCAACTGCTTCCAGCTATAAGTGCTCTCTAAATAGTTCATGCATCTCAGTCCAAATGATAGATGAGAAGATGATAAAAAATAGAGACTTGAAACTCTCAGCTTATTATTGATCCACCTACCCTCCAGCACATATTGCTTCATCTCGATCTCATAGAACTTGTTGGTGCCGATGATGATGCTGTAGCTAGTGAAGTGAATACAGCTACATGGCTCCAGGGTTTCAATCTCCTGAGGGAGAGAGAGAGAGAGAGAGAGGAGAGAGAGAGAGAGAGATCGATCATTAGGGGCAAGAGTGTACTTGTCTGTGTGGAGCCCCAGCCCCATGGGAGGTCATTATGGCCAGACCAGAAGGCGAGAACGTGTCGGAAATAAATGCTGCTTGGAGAATAGCTGCTTAGGGATTTGATATGGTTTGTACAATCTGTTTGTCTCAGGCTGAACTTATAAAATATATTATCTTGAGATGTTTGATCGCTGTAGCTGTAAGTGCATGATGTAGATGCATGTTTGCATCCCAGATTTACACCATGGAATCTGGTCATAAACCTTTACTTGTAATTACATTTGTGTAAGGGACAGGTTGGTATAAAAGCCACTCACCTTGCGAATGCAGAACTTGCTCAGATTATCATTGTAGCGCAGGATTGTGACTTTATTGGGCATCGCTGCGCAAATGCACGAGTTATTTTCAATCTAAAGGCAGAAAGAGTGAAAATTACAGGAGGTCTAACATACAGTATGACACGCAGTCGGCGTAGGCCAAAAATAGACTGTAGAGTGTCAGTCAGCACAGTTGCGGAGGCAGCAGTCTTACCCTGCCTGCGGCAAAAAGGTGACAGCCCTTGACAGTCTCAAAGATGTATGGCACAATTTCAGGCAGGGTTGGGAGGTGGGACTGGGATAGAGATTGTTTCACTTTCTTGATCTCCACAAGACACAGTGCCCTTTCGTCCCCTACAGGAAAAACAGTGTTAGTACACTCCCTACAGGAAAAACAATGTCAGTACACTCCCTACAGGAGAAACAGTGTCAGTACACTCCCTACAGACCAGTGTATTTTATTTTTAAAACAGAACACCAGCAATAGTTGATAATTATGATAATAATAGCTACTGGTATGAGTGCAACACCAGACAAATGTGGTGGTGGACAACCTGAGCCATCACTGCTGCTGTATTTGCTGAATGATGCATTAAACATGTCACTAGAAGCATAAAGAGGAGGAGCCAGGTGCTGAAGCTCCACTCACCCACTATCATCAACAGCTTGTCCTGCTCTTTGATGATGTGGATTTGGAACACAGAGCCCAGGCCTGGAATGTGAGTCAGTGAATTCTTGATGACGTTCAGTGCATAGAGACCCTCCTCTGAACCCACCAAGACGATCTGAGCACACAGGAAAGACAAATAAATATTAATGAGAAGAACAAAAGATGCGCTTTTATACTTGTATTCTGGTTTCAGCCTTGGCACGATACGATAATGACTGATCTGCTTTGACAAATGGTCCAATTCCAAACCTGATTATACACTATATGGCCAAAAGTGCGTGGACACCTGACCATCACACCTAAGGGAGCTGGTTGGACATCTTATTCCAAAACCACGGGTACTAATATGGAGTTGGCCTCACTTTTTGCAGCAATAACAGCCTCCACTTTTCTAGGATGACTTTCTATAAGATTTCTGAGTGTGTCTATGGGAATTTGTGCACATTCATTTAAAAGAGCATTTGTGAGGTTGTGTACTGATGTTGGACGAGAAGGCCTGGTGCACACATCTATGTCCCAATTCATCCCAGAGGTATTCAGCAGGGTTGAGGTCAGGGCTCTGTACAGGCCACTGGAGTTTCTCAAACCATGTCTTGATGACCTCACTTTTCGCACAGGAGCACAGTCTTGCTGGAGCAGGAAAGGGCCTTCCCCAAACTAGTGCCACTGAGTTGGAAGCATATAATTGTCAAAAATGTCTCTATGCTGCAACATTAATATTACCCTTCATTGGAACTAATGGACAAGCCCACCCCTGAAAAACAGCCATAGACCATTATCCCTCCTCCACCAAACTTTACTGCTGGCACTATGAGTTCCAGTACGTAGTGTTCTCCTGGCATTCACTAAACCCAGATTCATCCGTCAGACTGCCAGATAGTGAAGCATGATTCATTAATCCAGAATGCATGTTTCCACTGCTCCAGAGTCCAGTGATGACACCTGGCATTACACATAACCATCTTAGGCGTGCAGCAACCCATTTCATGAAGCTCCCAATGCACTGCCCACACTGTAAAAGACCATTTTACACTTATGGCACTTATAGTTGACAGATCTAGCAGGGCAGAAATTTCACAAACTAGCTTGGTGGCATCCAACGACCCACGAGTTCTTCACGACAACATATTCTTCTACCAGTGTTTGTCCACAGAGACTGCATGGTTATGTGCTTGATTTTATATATATGTCTATATATATATATTGCTTCTGTAATATTTTATTTATTCTAATGTCAGTACTTTTTATGTGCACCCTGGTACCTGGTCAGTGAGGGGGAGAGTGCAGTTGATGTCCAGTCTGTCATCCCCCTCCAGCTTGAGCAGAGAATTACCCAGCAACTTCTGTGAGGGGCCAGAAAGAGGGTTTAGTTTTCAGCTCATTTACTGTAAACACAGATGTAGTTGCACATTATACCAAGCCAGGGAATGATTACATGTAAGGAACATTCGGTGGTATGGAAAGCTTCAAACTGGTAGGCAGGGACTAATTTGGGGTTTTGGAGGCCAAGAGATTTCTGATTCAGGAGAGAGGTGCAGGTTTAGATTGAAATTTCCCCTCAATAACAGACACTATTTTAGGCATCAGGCAATTGTTTAGACACTATTTACCTGAATCAGTGGAGTGTTTAGCATTATTCTGCGCCTGCACCTACAAATCTAGGAACATTTGCACATAAAACATACTATATAACAAAAGACATTCAACTAGAACCAAGCTATTAAAGCTCTAATTATTTGCTTCATAAATGTCATGTAAAACATACGGTAAGATAAGGAAGATGTGCACGGGATAAGATGGCCCTGGGGCAAGATGTTTCTCTCCTGACCAAATCACGCCGCCAAATCTAGTCATATCCCGAAAACTGATTGGCCATGATCTGGCTAAATTGGTATGTCATCTAGATCACGCCAGTCCTGAGATCTATTCCACCAGAACCTTTTTTGTCATTAGAAAATATGCACTTAGAATCTAAATATATGATCTGTGCATGTCAATGATTAATCTATGTATCGAGTGAACATGTAAACCCATGAATCAAAAGACAAAAGATCCCCTTGAGTATACATACCCAAAATGTATTTTAGTTAGATTTTTTTTTATACAGACACAAAGTTGCTCACTGTAATTTCACTGGCCTCTTTCCGCATCTTCCCCTATGTGTTTAGTTTTGAGTTGTCATCAGCCTAGTATATAACTATATGACTAATACTGCATATAAACCTGTCCACTGTACATCAGGATCAAGATGAGTTTAGTATCAGATTTTTCCTCCACTCACTGCATCTGATTCTGCTTTCTCGCGGGCTCCGCGGGCGCTGGCCACAATGGCCTCCAGCACAGCCACCCAGCGCTGCTTCTCCGGAAAGCCTGAGCTCAAGAGGTACAGAGTCTGCGCCGGCCAGCATGATGCATGGGGTACTGACTCCAGCTTCAACACGTATGGTACATCTGAGGATCCAAACACCTCCATTACACCCCACACTAGCAGGAGGATGATTCAAACTTAAATACTTGTTGTATTTCAAAATCATTTGGCCCAGACTTCTTTAGCACTGCCATCCTGTTTGCCATTCTGCTCTTCCCTCTGGCCAAAGCCAGGCCTGTAGGGCTCAGTGGGAGAAGTTCTTACCAGACTTGGCTGTGTTGGTCAGCTCAGAGCCGCCCACGGAGCTGTGTATGACCACCTCCCCATCCGTCACACACAGATCAAACTCATCCACAGGCTTCACTGACTCTGAAACCCAGCAGAGAAGTTAGATATACTAAAATATGTGAATGTATGTAAATATATTAAAAACCAAAAGAGTTTGCAACAATGTGAAGCTGTCAAGTAGCCAGTGTGTAGATTAGTGGATGGAATACTGTGCAGTGTGTGTGTTCAAAGTAGAATTTAATCGTTTTCTCAAAACTTCTGCATAATTCAATCAATGAAAAGTAAACAAAGTTATTCAGAGTGTTTTGATGCGAAATAGTTAACCGTAGGGAAACTTACCCACACAGATTTCTTTACAGTGATGGTAATAGGAACCAAGGTTTACAGTGTCTAAATGTAGACATTTTATTTCCTGTCCAGAAGGGCTAGTGAGCCTACAACTTGTTCTCTGGGTTTTTATATATAATATCAATAATGCTAAAACAGTGATAAATCAATAATGTTTTCTTAGATGAGATGAAATAATGACCTTCTCTGGGCTCTGTCTCGTAGGTGAGAATCTTGTTCCCTTCCAGCACCACATACTTCCTCTCCCAGCCCTGCCCACGTTTTCCGTTCCTACAAACAAGAAGAAGACGTAATTATGCAATGATAACAAATGAGGCTGTTGAACATATAGGCTGCTATCATTCTTCAGTCAACAGAAAGTGCTCTGTGCATTTCTCTGCATTGGGGGGGCTGGGGATGGATGCAACATGGGACAGTTGCAATAAGTTTAATTCCTCCAATCAGAAACATGCTAGAGTGATGACACTTATACAGCACATGCTCAGTTAGACCCTCACCCCATCAGTAAGACAGAAGACACTTTCAACATCAGCTGCTGCATTTATTGAAAAACACTTATTTCGAAGGAGTGATAGTATTTTTTTTCATGAGCTGTATTTTTGTCCTGAGCTTGTGTATAAATTAATTAAAACGTACTTAGTTTTAATCATTGTTTTGTTGACTTTTAAGTGACACAGTTATCACAGGCTCAGTGTGTCTAGCTAGGACATGAGGTTCTGTCATGGGTGATAGGATGAGGCCGGTTGCAAAAGTTGTTGCAACAATCCCCAAGACAACAGTACTTTTCAACATTTTTAGCTCAATATAGGTGCAATTTATCTGTTTTATCATAATGAACAAAACAGGCAAGACCATGAGAGGCTAAAGATGAACAAAATAATAATAACTGTCCTTGATCTGCGTTGCAACTGTCCCCAGGGTGGGGCTCAATTTCAACATCTGACTTCAGGCATTCAAATAAATATTGTGAATAATATGTCATATGTAATCATCTTTAAATGGTATGCACAATTAGCAGACAGATGTACGTTTAATATATATGAATTTGGTCTTCTAGTCCAAAAAGTCTCTGAGTAACAGAGAAATGCAAAAATGTTGTGTCCCCAGTCTGCTCTGCTTGAGTTAATCTGATAAATGTGTGCATGCTTAAAACTAAGAATGTCTGGTCTCATGCCTGGTCCAACACATTCATAAATCCACCATATTTACCAAAGATTTTTCTTTGGTAGTAACTGTCTCTGCACTATACTAGTGTTTCTTAATTCTGCTCTCAGAGGACCCACAGCCTGGCACAGCACACCTGATCCAACTCATGAAGGGCTTGATAACCAGGTGATTAGCTGGATCAGAGAATATGAGAAACTGTGCAGTGGATCCTCAGGACCAAGACTGGGAATCAGTGCTCTATAGTAATGCATGCTGACTGACCTAAACTGCTTCATCCAGCCCTCCAGTCTCATGTGTCCACTGGAGTCTTTAAGCGCCAGGCCTGAGGAACTGCCCTTCTCCCTGCACAGAGCCTCAGATAGGTGCAAGGCATACTCAGTAGGCACGCCGCATGTGGCTGGAAGGTATGGGGAGCATTTTGGGTGGCACAAAGCATGACATTCTAAAGCAGGAGAGAAAATACAGTTAAAGCAAGAGTATCAAGATGGGGTTAGCATCGTCAACTGACCTCAAAACTAGGCAATTCATCAAAGTATGGTGAGTAATGAGAAACGTCAGGAGGATAATCTACCTTAGATTACTTATTAGATAACAATATGTCAAAGAATAGTAGACAAAACATTATAATTGTGCAATTTTCCTCTTGCCTCAAATGTAGTAAATCAGCCAAGGCATGTTTGGTATCATAAACTACACTATGTAAGTTTTGGGGATTTGGAGACCTCTCTGGCGGGAATGTGTAATTGCAAACAATGTCAGGAGAATATCTTGTAACGTTGGTTCGGACCCCCAGTGAGTGAACAAATCTAATGATTGCAAGTGTTGAGTGTTCAAAGACAAACACAGTCAAAATTCGCAAAATGACATGTCTTTTAAGGATGTAAGTGAATTATCTGCCTTTGTCAGCATATCTGTCATCAGTATAATTTTAATTTTGCATTTGAGACCCAAACATTGTTGTTCTTTATTAGGTCTGTGCGTCTGGTGTTTATATGTAAGGATATATACTGTGGCCTGAAAATCTCCCATGCAATCTGACACAATCATTATTTCAGGCTTCGTAGGTTAACGCAGAGCATACACACCATATTTTTTCCTGACTCAGTAATGCTACTTCTTTCAATTTAAACAAAAAATGACATAGTATAGCTTTAAGTTTGCTTCTGTAGTTTTACACTGGAGCTCCAAAGCTCATTTACCTCAGAAATAGGGTTAGTAATGGAAGTAATTGTTAAGTCATCTCAAATTAGCACAGTTATTTATAAAAATGGACAAAAGTACAAACAAAAATCCAGGCTCCAAGATGTTGCTACTACTTTTTTTAGCTATGTGACATACTTTTGTCCAAATATGTCTTGGCTGATTGACATTGTTTCAGGAAAATTGTGCAAAAATAGTTTTTATGCTGAAGGACCTATATTATGGGAAACTTCCATCTATTTTTGAAAAAAGAGTTTCATGTAAACATGTTCAAAACATACTGTTCCTTGTCCGCACATTCCATAAATGGAAACTAAGCTGCAAAAAACAGCCCATTTTGAATTTATCCTTTTTGGGATGTCACAAAAGCCAATATATTTAAATATATCTGCCTATTATAGGAGGAGTGTTTCAGCCTGGACTGTTTTTAGAAAGAGGCACAATACAAAAAAGCCATTCAGCCAGTCAATTACACCCACATTATATATATATATATATATATATATATATATATATCTATCTATCTATCTATCTATCTATCTTTAAGGCACAGTAACAAAACATCCTGTTTAGTTCTAAAAAAAGAGAGGTTTAAAATGGTCATGTATAAATTAATTCTGACTGTTTTTGGTACATAAACAAACACAAACATAATAAACAGACCTCAGAAGAAGAATGAAATACACGAAAAATATAAGATAAGGGTTCTAAAATGTTTAGATAATGGACAAGGCAGAAATACAACACATTTGCATGATTTGTTTTACATACAGATGCTTTTACAGCATACCGATACAGGTAGCGGCCTGCCGGCCGAAGTGGACAATGTCCAAACACACGGTGCATTTGGCTGCCCTCATGTTCAGACCCTGGGTGAAGCGGTGAGGGGTATTGTGGGTACCATGGGTACTGTGATGAAGCCTTTCCTTCACACGTCGTGCATACTCTAAACAGCGAAAACAGCACAGCTTAGTCATCTACTGATCACCTCTCATTCTCCCCTAAGCAGTTTATGAAAGCAGGCAAAAGCAACATCAAAACAGCCATTCCTGGCAGCCTTTGGTTGACCAGAGAGGGCCAGGAGAACATTAGTTTGGAAGGCATTGCATTCTTTCCCTAGCAAAGCTGTCTGTGAGTAGCTTGGAGTTTGACATGCAGGTTCTTAGTTAAAATACAGGTTTTGGAGCATTCCAGATGGTGGAGAGTGAGGAGTGTATGATCATGGATATTCCATGAGGGGCTTTCAGAGATAAGCTCATTGTCCTCGGCAGACTGCGCTTTATGCAATGAGAATGTTCCTGATGTATGAGGTTGCAGCGTAATGAAAATATGATGTTAGATAATGGAGATAAGTTTTAATGATGCACCATTGTTCTCTCAGCAAATGATAATGTAATGATTTGCACTCTGTAGAAATGATACAAATCTAAACCACATATCTAGATTCTGCGCTTCTGTACACTGCCACATTTCACTGTAGATAATACAGTTTTATATTCATGAAAAATCTCCTTTGGAACATAAAAGAAAGCTTTGAATTATTCAGCAAAAGTGGTTGCTTATGAAGTTTTTTGGCCAGCGAGCTTATCTCTGCAGAGAAAGCGAAGAAGCGAGAATCCTCAGCCTATTGCATAAGAACTTACTTTCAGAAGTGGCTCTCCTTATTTCTGCAGGACAGTGACAAAAAGGACAATGAGTGTGGAGAGACATGATTAAAAAAAAGGAGAAACACTGAGCTGCAGATAAGAATGGCCAATTTGGGATGCATTTGACAAGAAAATCTTTCCTGACTAAAGATCATATCAAAACAATCAACCATTATATAAAATTTTTAATGTAATTTTCTTTCTTTAAATGCAATTTCCTTTTTTTCTATGAGCACAGGCAAAACCACTGGTGCAAAATATAAGCTGACCTAGTTCCTCTTTTATTATACATGTGCCTTAAAAGTAGTAACTAACTCTTCATTGTGCGATTACGCAAAACAGGTGTAAATATTAAGTTGCTTAATCTGCCCACCCTCAGGGTTGGAGGTCTCCTTCCTGCGGCCGGAGTTGGAGGAGGCCAGGTTAGGTGGGTTGGGCTGGTGCTCAGGGGATTTGTTGGATTTGGTGGACATCATGAGCTGCTGCCGGGCCAGACCTGGGGTGGCAGGAGTACCACCATGCTCCAGTGCTTTATTAAACTGCATGGCTGAGAAAAGGGAGAAGGAAATGTGTAGAAATGAGGTCAAACACAAAAAAACCTGAGCAAGATCCCTGGAGGTTTATGGATTGTATACTTGTTTATTAGAACTTATTAATGAATGACATGCAGAATGTTCAGAGAAAAATGCAATTTACACAATTTTCCACTTAGCCCAAATGTAGTCATTCAGCCAAGACATATTTGGTGTCAGACGTCTGCTTCCTTAGTTTTACATTTACATTTATTCACAACTTACAAGTAGGGAAAGTGCAGTCCAAACATGCAGCAATAAGAAGAGCCAATGCCATGTGCCTCATAACTGCGTGTCCAGTATTGTCTGGATAAATTTAGTCCCTCATGGTGCAAACTATGCAACTTATAACTGCAACTGAATGTAGAACGATTACGTTCCCTAACTACAGGTACTAAAGACATACCCTTAAAACACCACTCCTGTGACAGCATTTGTAGAGGGCAAGACAGTTTTACATTGGAGCTAAAGGAATATCATATCTTACCCACTGATAAAAAGACACACGCAAAATTTAGGCTTTGAGATACAGCGTATTTTTGTCTATTTTCATAGCTAGTGGTATGTACACACAGTGTCATATCACACAAGCAAGTCACTTGAGGCAAGTGTGTGATGATTTCGGGTGGGCAGTTTTCATGGTGCTAATTGGTGAATTATAAGCTTCCATTACTTGTCAGGCAAACGTGTCTTAGCTGATTGTCTACATTTTGGATAAGAGGAAAACTGTAAATTTGATTTTCCAATGAACTATTCTTTTTAACAACTTCAAAACTCAAAACCCATCTTCTCTTGTCCAAGAGGCAGCATACATGTAGCCCATCTCACCCTCTCTGAGCTCCATACGTGTCTTTTGCAGTGCCTCCTCCAGTTCAGAGCAGCGGGCACGCTCCTTGTCTAGCGCTGCCTTCATGTCACTGTACTGCAGGGGCACAGGGGTCATGACAGGCACAGAGGGCACCTGAGTCTGGCCTTGGGCTGCCAGTGCTGCCAAAAGATCCTCGCGACGCCTGCCACCAAAGATGCCCTGAAACAAAGACAGAGGCAGAGTGAACCGCCCAGGCTCCTTCATCCAGCAACCGGAGCTGAACATCATTAGAACTCTAGCTTACTCAGTCAGAAGGTGCAGGGGTTTATATTCAGTCAGATTAGGTGTCCCTATCTGCACATCACATATCTGCACAGCTGTGATGCTTGGGCAAGGGTTTACATGCGGGTTGTTGTAGTGCACTTATTTGACAAATCGCAGGATTACTAATGGCTTGTGCACCATGCACCATGGACGTGCACTTTCGGACCATACTTACAAGGTTATAGGGACACCTAATATGGGCTTCAATGAGAAGCATTTTCAGCAAGCAGTTAGTCAGGTGGGTTAATGAGGAGAATGCCCAGCAGACTCTGACCTTTTTCTTCTTAGAGGGGTGGTCTACCTTGGCCTGCAGGAAGTCTATCAGCTTGGTCTGCTGGGTGATGGTGCCCTCCATCTTCACTTTTTCATGAGAGTACACCGCCTGCAAGGTTAGACAGTTTTTTTCTTTCTGTGTCAGTACTAAGTTTTAACACATTTCAGAGATCCCAATTTTATTTAAGAATTACTGAATACTGAAGTGAATTTATAAACATGCTGTGGTACAAATGTACCTGTATGTTTTCCAGCTGGTACTCCAGGTCTGTTCTCTCAGTCTTCAGTAAGTCAGTCTGATCCAGTGCATCCTGCAAGCCCTGTGTCAGTCTGAAGATATGGCTCTTCTGCATGTCCAACTGCTGCTGCAACTTTGCTTGCTGCACACAAACAGAGTAGATTTCAATTGCAGTGCACACTGACTTGCATAACTGTTGTGCACATTAGCACTGCATCAGTCTGGGGCATTTTGTAAACTCTAAATTGCAGGCTTGTCAATCTTAAGACTTATTGTTCATTTTATACTACTATTCACTGTAAATTCAATAACTACTGTGAAGCTAATACGTAATCTACATTGGTCTACATTGGTCACCAGTGTGTATTTATATATTTTCAAAATCTGCAGAGGCCATGCACTGTTTAAGATACTGCTGCATTTTCATTACAGTGAGCTGAGTCACTTCCCTCGCTGTTAGCAGCTTTGGGGCATGTTGCTAACATACAAGCAAGTTCATGTGTCCAGAGGAAAAGTGTGTGCAGAGTTAGACTAGTTCTGTGGCCCAAAGTGGCCTATTATTGTAGCGTTATGATGTCTTGTGCTCTGAATACATTGGTATTTTTTTCAACCATTTTATCTTACGCTTAATATCCATTTAAGCATTGAAACATGCATTGAAGTGTGACTATGGCCTGACACAATCAGCTACTGTGCCAAATATAAGCAATCTGACTGGTTGCAGCTCAGCATATTTACATGAAATTTGTCCAGAAGGAGAGTGAGGAGGGTGATCAGGGTGAGCAACAGCAGTTTGATGTGTCAGTTATTGCAAGTTATGACACTTACTGTTCTGATGTAAATTAGTCGTCACACTGAAATAAAAAGGCAAATCATTTTGCATGCCATCAATGTATATGTAAGCTACATTCTACTAAAAATTGCAAACTAAAACTGCAAACTAAAACACCTTCCCGCACCTCTGGAAGCTTGACTGTCAACACACTGGTGAAACTTGTTGTTAAAGTTCAGGTGCATTTAATATATTTCTAGAAGAATGTTAGTTAAAGACAAGATAAGCATCTACAAAGCATCTACAGTGGACTCTCAAAATGAAGTATGTGCCAGGCCCACATATGGACCCTTGCAGTTTACGTTTTGCTCTGTGAGGAAATTCAAAATGATTTGACCCCTAGCTTTAAAATCCAAATATGGTATATCTTTGCCTATTACTGCAGTCCAATCTAACCACCACCAACTGTTATCAGGTGGGATTTGTTGCTGAGTCACACCTTCTACTTGATTGGTAGCATGTTTTGTTTTGTTGGTCTGACTCATTCCTCTCAACTGCGCAGTGAAGCTGTACCTAAATCACATAATTTCAGACCTCATAACTGCCGCAAGTCTTGACAATAACATCTAACTTCATATAGAGTTTTTTGCACTGATCAATTCTCTGACAAATAGGAACACAATAAGACAGTAAGACAATACCTCATCCACCAGCCTCTGTTTGAGCTCCCGCTCAGTCTCCAGTTTCTGCTGCAGGCTGCGAGCATTCATCTCCAACATGGCGTGCTTCTTCTCCAGATCACTCAGCTAAAGGGGTAGAGAACAAAGAAAAAAGCCTTTATACCCTTTCCTATACTAAAGATACATGAGAGGCAACAGGTCAACTTTATTCTGCGACAGTATGATTTACAAAAAAGCAGCAACCAGTGATATGCAGTAAGAATGCCATACTAACAAGAAATCAGCAACAGTTTGAAAGATTTTGATCTCAGTTAACTTATCTACTGTCATCATAAATTCAGAATAAGAAATAAGGGATCTGACTGTTGATCAGTTGGTCTGTTGTTTCACTGAACACTAAAAATGCTTATTATAAACTTCACTACAACAGCAATATACACTGTATCTGAGCAGGGGAGGAGTAAGCGATGACATCTTCAAGCAATGTGCATAAAAATGCAATAATTAAGAAGTTAAAAACAACTGGAGCTGTAGTGAATCTGTCTGGAAGAAGACAAGTGCATTTTTTCCCACACACACAGTGAGGAGAGGCAAACATTTCTCCAAGGATCACTGTCAGACTTGCAAAAGATGGTAGCATTTTGGTGTCACCAAGCCAGCAAACAATTTGGAAGATGTTCCAGAAGAAAAAAAATATTTTATCTGACCACAAGGGTAAGCACCTGACGTTTGCTGGACGCTACACTTACACTATCGGTTTTTGGCTACCAGGAAATTAGACTGGGACCAGCTCTATGCTCAGATGAGACAAAATTAGAGCTTTGTGGCAACAACGCTTAAGGTGGATTTGGTGTAAAAACAGGATGGTTATACAGAAAAGAACCTCATCCTCACTGTTAAACATGGTGGAAGGTCTGTGATGCTGTGGGCCTGATTTTCTTGGGTCATGGTCGGATCTTCCAGCAGGACAATGATAATTTCAAATTCACACAAAAATGGTTAAGGATCACAGACTTAAGCTTGACGCAGCCATCCCAGTCCTTTTGCTTAAACCCCCACTGAAAACCTGAAGGGGAGAGTCCAAAAGAGAGAACCTCTGACTCTGGAGAATCTGGAAATATTCTGTATTGAGGAAAGGTCTCTAATTCTCCATACAAGCATTAGAAAAGAAGACTTATTGCTATTTTGGCAGATGGAGGTTGCACAAAGTATTACAAGGTAGGGTTGCCAACTATTTTCACACATATAGCATGTTTGTTTTCTTAGATTTAAGGCTATTTTCACACTTACTTTGCTTGCTCAACTCCACATCAGAGTTTGGGTTTTTGTCACATTGTATCTTGTATATTGTTTTTATTTGAACTCTCACTAGTCTATCATAGGATAAAACCCAGATCTATCCCGCTCTTATCTTCTTTATAAAATGTATTATCATGCCCAAAATCTTCTTGATATCCACAGTTTCAATAATGCTTCAGTTTGAATTCACTCAAGTCATCAATGTCTGCAGTCCTTGCGACAAAATCAAATGCTTTAGTATTGATCGTCAAATGTTACACAGGCAGATTATGCAGACAGTACTGCACTGACGTACACTGAAAAGCACGCTCTGGTGTTGAATTCCCCCACTTGGTGCAGACCATCATAAAAAGTCTTCCCACTATCAGCAAAAAAGGAAGCACAGACTTGCAACGTTTGCTAGACCACTGTTCAGCTGTTTGATGTGAACTCGCATACAGGTGGAGTGTTCACAACTGTCACAATGAGCTGAATATTTGATTGGTCCACACCAAACAAGGTAGGTGTGAAAGTGCCCTAACACTACTTCTGTGAAAGGATAGATTTCTCTCATAATTTCAGTGTGAGACCACAAAGATATTTTTATCCATCTTTACCAAGGGTGCCAATGATTATAAAGATTATATGATTGGGAGTGCATTGAAAATACATAGTGACTTATCAACTGAGGACCAGATATAGTTTATAAAACAGGACTGTAACCTGTACTATAAACCATATGTAGGCAAGCTAATAAAGAGATGGGCCCTCAAGATTTATACATCAGATAATAACAATAACATAATTCAACAAGATTTTGGAGCAATACCATGTTTGCATGTTTGTACACCCAAAAGCTAAATCCTGAGAGATATAAGACAATTAATTCTCAGTTGCACACTGTTTACATAATTGTATTTGCGTCAATCTAATTCACATCAGCTATGCTGTGGTACCCCATCCCTGCTACTTAGATACAGGGATGTACCGTGTCAGAGAGGCCTTCTGCCTTCAGTTTCTGGTCCTTCAAAGCCTGCTGCAGCACCAGGATCTCCGCCTTGTGCTCCTTCACCGCCAGCTCAACAGCCTGACGGGATTCAGAACTGCGCTGATCAGCACGCAGCCTGAGAAAGAGAGAAAGAGAGAGAGAGAGGGAGAGAATGAGAATGAGACAGTGAGAAAGTGGGAAGAGAATATAGAATATGAATGTGCACTGAAATGTGTGCGTGTGCACTTGTGGGCTGTAACCTGTTCTGTTTCTCGTTGTCCAGCTGTCTCTGTATTTCTCTGGCTCTGCGCTCAGCCTGGTTCTTCTCCTCCTCCAGAGCGCTCCTCCAGCTCTCCCACTGACGCTCCTTCTCCAGTAGCTCATCATTCAGAGTCTCCAGCTCCAGCACCTGTTCCTCAAGCATGGTGCACGTTGTCTTCAGGGTTTCTATGTTCTACACACACACACACACACATACACAAAAATACACCCACTCGCACATTATCAATTCATTCTGACTGATTGATTATTCATGAACTAATTATGAGGTGATATGAGGTGTTAAAGTCTGTCCCACAAAAGGCAGCATTATGTAAACACCAATTCAATATTCATTTTCATTCATTATTCAGTCTCAGTGATTTAAAGGGAAAGAATATTCTCCAGCAAAACCCCTGATATCAGTGCAACACATTCCACTAGCATTTTGGTATTGTTGCTGTGCTGGGTATGATCTACCACCCAAATAATACCCCTACTTGGATACAGGTGGTCCTATGATGATCACTTACCACTAATGTATGGGGTAGAGGGGGCTGACAAATTTAAGCAACAGAACATTAGAGGCAATGTGTTGTCGCAAATAATGTGACCGTGATCATCACAACTGTTAATTTATTCATGATAACACATGACCAACAGTTCTGCAAAATACAGAAAAAAGTAGTGTTGCACCAACACTAATAATATTGGTATCAGCCCTGATACTGGCACTTAAATACAGTATCAGTACTGGCAGATGGACCTTAACTAAAGCAAAACATCAGCAGTGTAGGATGACAACCAGTAGTAAAAATGCTAACTTCAAAATCTGTAATGGCAGTATTTCGAGGGGAGGCTATAGTAGTGGGTGATATACCTTTCCAACTAGGACAAATTCCAACTAGTATTAGCTTCACCAGTATGTTACAAATAAGCACAGATAACAAGGCATACAAACAGTTCACAACATGCTAATTTCAGTAGTCCCTCATCTCCTGCTGTTTAGTCAGTTGCAGTCTGAGTTAATGTTGGTCTTCAGCTTAGGGTTAGCCTTTAGTGTAACTCTGCTAAACTCCCGCTTTTCTCTAATGCTGCCTGCAGTGCGCCTCTGCTGTTCAGCTGCAGCAGACAACAGCGTGGTGTCAGGGCTGGTGCTAGCATCAAGCCAAGAAATCCATAAAAGAAAATCATAAAAGTATCAGCCATTTGCATTATGGACACATAAAACTGTTGCAACATCAGGTTCAGCAAAGCTTTTCAATATTCAGATTAAACTGTATGTCATTTGTGCCAGCCAGTCTGTAAAGCAAGTCCACCCTATTAGCCAGATTATATTCTGTTTGTTTCTGGCTGTTTGTTAATAATGAGCCTCACTCACCAACTGTTCTTAAGAAGAATTCTCTTCTTAAAACCCACTTACGCAGATTTCATGAGGATTCTGACATTCACCAATGTTTTCTTATTTGAGATTTGTTCTTAAGTAAGAGCAGAATCTACACACACTCAAGAGCACAAAGGTGTGAACAGTCCTGCAGTTTAAGAACATGTCAGGAATCTGATGTAGACGCTTTCTTAGGACCTTTCTCAAGAACAAACTTTAGAAAAAATTTAGGAAGATATTGGTGAATGAGGCCCAACGTTCTGTTTGTTTAGTTGTTCCATCGTCACAGTTGCCAAATGAAAAGCTTGCTGAAGGTGATATTAAGATAACAAGTTATCTAATGTGTCCACTTTCTGTTTTGCATGTGCTAAAGTAGACACTTAGTAATGGTTAGCTGGAGCATAAAGCAAGTTGTTACTTAGCAACGAGTGCTCAGCAGAATGATAAAAAACGTGCTCTTATCACAAATAACAGCTCAGGTAGACCAATTAGACTGTGACGTCGGACCAACTGTTGTATAATGTGCTGCAACTAATGGGCTGCAGTTTGTAGTTGGAAACCCAAAAGTGGACCTACATAGTGGGTGTGACTGATGTAATGGTCAATGAGTGTAGGTACAAGATAAATATACCCAACTAGAAACAAGATGGTTTAACTGAAAAGACAGTAGTGTAGTATAAATCACTGCAACTCGGTAAGCAGACATTTCATGTAATTTTATGAAGCAGAGAGTCTAATTAGGCAGCTCTGTGATTTTCTGAGACTTGAATTGCACTGTTCCCACCACACCACTTGAGAGTGACACAGCAAAGAAGTATTGTAATGAGGAAAGAGGCAGAGAGAGAGCAAAAGAATTGTGGAGAGAGGCTCCAAATATAGGTGCATAGATGCAGCGCTGCTGCCCGTGTGAAGTCCAACGCAGCCGGGGCAGAGGGGAGCGGAGAGAGAGTGGATGACACATCTCTCCATCCCACAAGCGTCTATGATTACCATTCGCTTGTGTTATACAACAGCCAGCACTGAGACACCGCACACCCACATACACACCGCCTCCCACATGCATGCAGCTCCACTTCTCACACACACATACGCAAACACACACAGCCTCTGCTTTCCTCCACCATCTTGCTTGTCCGCTGCTACGAAACAAAAGTAGCTTTCAGCATCATTTTCCACCTTGTATTAATTGCACTACAATGAAGGACAAAAGTAGTCCAGTGATTTCCTTTCTGTGATGAGACCAACTCCTGTATTTTTGTGTCTGTGTTTTGACTGCACCTGTCAGTCACATCCTTATTAGTTTTATAGGCCTTTGTAAAAGAAGGTTTATTATCTTTAATTTATTTATTATCATTTTCTCATTTCTATAAAAGAAGAATGGTTTTTCAAATTGTTTTTTCATATGGCAACAAGAGTATAGCTTCCATGAACATGTGTGCTCTGCAACAGTCTTAGACCACCTGATAAAACATTTACAGTTGTACGCAAAAAAAATTAAACACCCCTGGTCAATGACCTGTTTTTTGATTTTACAAGTGAAAATAAATATCTACAGGAAGAAAGCTTTAATTTGCAGAAAAAATGTCATATTTTAGTGCACAATAAATATATATATATTTATTTATTTATTTTTGCTGAGTTTAATATATAGGCAAAAAGTAAAACATACAATATAAAATTATGCTGAATTCAGCAGGTAAACGGTCGTTGGGCATTAAAATGTGCAAAGGTGTATTGCCTGTACAGGATGTGTACTTATTTTCACATTTACACTGCAGAGGCTTTATCCCCAGGAGACAATTTTAATGATTTTCACATGAAAACGAAGCATTCTGGTTTATTTTAAAAATAAATATAGCAAAACAAGTAACTGCTGTAGAATTATTCAGTTGAGTTGCAACTATGCCGATACAAGTCACGTTAACACTTTTATTTATTTTACAAAAAAGGTTATTTAGTTGCCATATTAATGTCAAAACATCTTGAAAAATCTATAATTTGTGTTCTCTCTAATAAAATGTCTACACTAGCTTCATAATGTATGGAATACTTGGACCCCTATGATTGCCACTTGCTCTTATAGCAGCACTCCACAGAAATCAACATCTAGAGAGCTCTACATCTATTTCAGACAAAAAGAACGGGGTAACTAATTGTTCTGTTTACAAACAACGATCATTTACACATTAACTTTTTTGCAATCACTGTTTGAAAAGTATGGAGGAAAGAATATGTAAAAATTAAACTTTACTCGTGAAAGCTTCTGTTCCACAAAGCTTCTGTTTTTCAGCACCATTAAGGCATCAAGTTACAAAAGGTGCTTATACACAATATTATTATATGAAACTTATAAAAAGTAAAAAAAAAAAAAAATCATAAGCACAACAAAACAAAACTCAAATCTGTGAATTAGTCAAATAAATGATCATGATGTGCTGCTGGGGAAGGGGGACTCTTCTTCAGAGTTCTACTTGTTGACAGCAGGATCCCTTCCCTTAAACTAAAAACTTATCAACTTTTATATAATTCACGTACAAAAATGTTCATCATTCAAATTGCGAAAGGCAATAAGTTTACATGTATGTTTAAAGCTATTTATCTGGGAAGAAGCCTTTATTTCCTTGAATAAAATACTAACATTAGAATAACAAACACAAACCCTTTAAGACATTGTATTAAATTAAAGGAGCACAACAGGAAAGAAAGTACTTAAACTTGTAATCTTTCAACCATCTCTCAAGATATTTTATAAGGATTTTGAAAATATGAAATTCTTTCTTGCATTCTTATTTGTGTTGTTACGAGCCAAAATGCATTTACTGCCTAAATAAATACATTTTAAAGAACATACAGATGCAACGTTCCCCAGCAAGCACCAAAGAAGACATTGGTTTGGCATGCCATACCAACATGTGGTAGTTTGGAGACTCTAAAAGGTTCTTGCCCATTCCTACTGGGTCATCTGACTTATCACTTCTTACTCTGGAACAGAATAAAGCCGACTGCCAACATTAGACAGTTGGTGTTTGTTTGTTGTGCTCTGACCTTTGAACAGTCCTGTATTTGTTCCATACCTGCTTCTGGTTGTTGAGGTGCATCTCTCTGTCAGCCACTTCCCTGCGGAGGCGGTCGACCTCCTGGCTGAGCTGCAGCCTCTCCTCGTTCTCATCAGTGGCTTCATCCAACTGCTTGGACAAGTAGAAGTTCTGTCTGTTCAGCTCGGCGTTCTCCTGCGTCAGCTGAGTCAACTGCTCCTCCAGGTCCGTGATCACCTTGAAAGCAAAGGAGATTCACCTGTTTAGACTGTAACTGACAGCAGCACTAAAGCAGCACTGACTGTAAATTCACCACATTCTACCAGATGCTGTGACAGTACAGATGACTGACATGAAGAAACGGGTGTTTGGGCTGAATCTATGGGCGGTAGTGGCACTGGGAAGGTCTATATTTAGTGGAACTAAATTTCAAATCATTGATATATCATTGTGCCTCTGAGAAATGGCTAGCTCTGTTTCACAGTACGCCACTCCATCCCTTCTCAAATTCTGCCAACCTGATGAAAAAGCATCAGCTCATCAATCGTCCTCTATAAATAAACAAAGCAGTTATGTGGGAGGAGGAAGAGGTGTTAAAGAACAACTTTGAAATCACTCATCAAATTAGCCCATGTCTTTTAAGAACTGTCTTTGTATCAGCAGGGGCGGTGTTATTGAGATGTTAATTCTAATGTTGAGGGAGCGATTTATTGCATGCTTTCATTGTTTTGTTTCTTCGCTCTGCATTGCGGAAAACATATTTTTTCCAGGCCAAGAAAACTTGCAGCTGATGTACTGACAGCCCTGATGCTCAGTCAACACGAAGAGCTGAAATTTGCATGAGATTGCAGTGCTGGTCAAGTGAGTTGGCGCAGGCAGAGGACAGCAGAGGTGCCAAAATGATCCAAGCGTAGGAGGCGTCAGCGCATTATTATTATTGCTGTTAAAGGCACAGAAACACATGCGCACTGACCCACTTTAGCTGCCCACTGACCACTGTTTTGTATTTTTGTTCCTGCAAAGATGAATACCGAGCTGTTTGTTGGCCCTATATGTGATTGTTATGAGTGAATTAGCACTTTCAAGAAAGCATGTTCTGACCAATAAAATGCCAGATTATACAATGTCACTCTCAAATCAGAACCTTCCAACTTTTTTGTGAAAACACCAGCTGCCTTTTACATTGTGTGAAAAATTATCATTTTGTGATGAATGGACCAATGGAAATGATCCAATACGACTTCTTGATATATTCATGTACAAACCTAATTCCCAAAAAGTTGGTATAGAATGTGAGATGCACTTTGACACATATTTAAGCAAGACAAGAGGCCAGAAGTGCTACACCACATAAAATGTGAAGCACAGTAAATAACACCTATTCATAAATTCACCTTGGTGGTGATTAACATGCCAGTGTCTTCTTAATGCAAAGTTCAGGGCATGAACCAATCAAAATCCACATGTACCTAAGGTCAGACATATTAAAGACCCATGCCAAATAAAACTCCCGTTCGCACAATGAAAGAAACGTAAACAAAGAAAACCAAAATTCTCAGAAACAGAGCTACAAATTTTAATGGAGCAAGTGCTAATAATAGTAAATTGTTTGGCAAAGATGCTTTTAACTTTTAATCAAGAAACAAAGTTTCTTTACCAGAAAATGCATACAGCTTTCAATTGCAGGAATTATATTTTAGCATATTTAAGCAAGATTTCATTTCTCATTGGTAGGAATTCAAACTTCTTTCCAATTCATTATAATTCCAGTAAGGATTTTTTCTAACATTTAATGTTAAAGTATTAAGGTTTAACATGTGGCAATTTTTTAATTGACAAGCCAAAATTCCAATTACCATTTTAGCTTATATTTCCTATTTTTATTGATCTCAGGAATTCAATTAATACATGTGTAAATTACAATTCCACTAATAAATATTACTAATAGTGAAAATTCAGTTTTTACTTGTAAGAAATAATGTTTGACTGGTAAAATATCATTTTCACATGTGTAAATTGAATTCCTTTGTAAAATCCAAAACTACATTTAATAAAATCAGAATTAGATTCTCAACATGCCAAATTACCCTCCACCTATTTGGATTACAAGCTAAACCTACTTCCAACACATCTGCCAAACATCAAATTTGATAAAAAAGGAAGAGGTCGCTTTAAGGACGGTTCAAGGCTTAACACTTTGCCAAAACATGCATCAGTAAATATTCCAAAAGTTCAAGAACAACATTCCTCAACGAGCAACCTCTAGGATTTCACCACGTACACTGCATAATATCCAAGAAATCCAGAGAAATCTTTGTGTGTAAAGGACAAGGCTGAAAAACACAACTTAATGTCCGTCACCTTCAATACCCAAATCCCTCAGACAGTATTAAAAACTACATTAATAACTGACATGCTTCTGTGATGTAAACACCATTCGTCACTTTTTCCACAAATGCGAGTTAAGAATGTAACTATTCATAGTGAAAACAAAGTTGTGTGTTTGTGAAGACATTAATGCTGAGGGGTACATTCACGTTTTGGAGCAACACAGGCCACCTTCTTCGGGGACGCCCCTGAAATACTAAAAAATTTCCTAATCACTGCTTTCTGTTTTTATTAGCATTTCACATAATGTCTCAACTTGTTAGAATTGATGTTTTAAGAGGATTCAGGTTTTTCTTTTCTATTATAAAGTTACAACTTCAGAGATACTCATTAGAGAGAGGTTTTATTACAATGGTGATACATATTCTAAAACGTGTTTCTTTGCTTTACATCAGGGGTCATTAACTGGCCAACTGCAGCCTGGATTCTGTAGCAAAGCTGATTTTACGCAGGTTAAAACGGTTGAATTTCAGTACGACTTCTGTAGCAGTCCTGTGCTGCAGTTTATCCAGTCTGACGCATTTATGTAAACGACTTAGCAGAAGGCAGCTCTTCTGAACAGAGACTAGCAACAGGGCTAATAAGAAAGCAAATAATTTAATATATATTATTAATATTAATATATAATATTAATATATAATATTAATATATTTTTGTAGAATTTTAATTTTATTTACTATTTGTTGCCTGAGAGGTGAAGCAACAATGTGACTTTAAAGACTTTAAAAATGAATGAACAGAGAACTGTTTGATTTTTCTCTTTGTTACAAGTTCAAAAACGATATGGCTCATCTGTTCAGAGTACATGGTGCTGGTGAAAAGTGGAATCGTTGAGAGTCAGCACCACTGCAAAATAAATCACTGGTACACCGGAGTGCTTGTCCATTCCCTGACAGCAAGAGCATAAGAAATGCTCATTAAGACTAGCCTCTATTAATATTTATCTATCAATCAATTTTTATTAAATTTATTTTACCTTATGAGAAGACAAGTTTTAGTTGAATCTTAAGCTAAAATGTTCTGTTTATCAGTTTGAACACACTTCCTTCAAGTAGTTATCCAAATAAACATACAGGACAGATTGTGTTCTGTTCTTTTGCTCTGATCTCTCAGGAGTTCCTGCTGACTGAGGAGTCAGAGTTGACTGTGGCGTTGAATAAGACCCCTAGTTCTCTCCAGTTTGTTCTCCCTAAGCTCCTTTAATCCTCCTCTCCGCACTTAGCACTTCACCAACGCTGAGAAAGAGGCAAGAAACATTCACCACAAATCAAGAGCTCATTAGTTCCTACTCTTTGAGAAATGGATATACTGTACAGGATACAAAAAAGCCCCTCTGATATAACTCTCAGGTATTCTTGTGCACACTTGCACATAATATTCAAACAGAAAGCTATGCAAATATGACTAATAACATTATAGGATCATTGTATGGAACATTACACTTGTTTAGAAGGCATGAAGAATATGCTTTCTAATTGCTCTCCAAAAAACAGCTCCTATGTTAATCTTCACAAACCAAGAAATCTGCATGCATCCCCAGTTATCCATGTCAGCCTAAGCCCAGGTTATTAAAAAAAAAAGTCTGGCAAAGGCAAATAAAAAAAATTGTGAGTGCAATGCAAAGCAAAGAAACAAACTCCAGCTAAAAGCAGCTCTGGTGGAGCTGTCAGAGAATGCTGATCTGGAACCGTGGTGAAGGCGCTCAAACAGCTTGCGAGTGGGAGGACAGTAAAAGTAGGGCAAGTGGATAAGGAGAAACAGAGAGAGATGGCTATGTATTAGATAACAATGAAGAGAAGCGAATTAAAGACACTTTTAAACATCCATCTAAGCTTCCACAAAGCAATGACCTTGGCTACAGCTACAGTCAGGGGTAGAATACACCCAACCAAAAATAACACTGGACTAACGGGTTAAGCTTTTTGTGTTGATCAGAAACTGATAAATGGAGATTTTGTCAACAGAAGGGAGTCAACAGTGAAAGAATTATAAAGAACATCAACTGATGGAAACTGTACTGACTGGGTTAATGGACACATAGGATCAGTTATGTAACAGCACTTCAGTTGACATGTGAATCATCAAACGAATATGGTACCCTATTTCTGTATGGTTAAATATAGAATTCAATAGCATACCGCACAGCTGTCCCTCAGGGCGTCAAACTTTCGCTGGATTTCATCCCGGTGGGCCTTGAAAAACAAGAGAGTGAAATCGTTACATTCAGAGAGAGTGCACACTTCTCTAGAGTGGCTCCTAGTGATCTGAAACAAGAGTGCAATTTAGCAGAACAGAGAGTGAACACAAATAAAAACTTGAGAGCAGTGATCAAGATTTGCATGGATACAGATACACAGTTACTGAGAGGATGTCACAATGACAATGTTTAGGGTAGTACACAAAGTGTCATTTTAGTGAAAACTCCTGTATCTCAATCTTGGGAAACAGCTAAGAAATAAGAGAATGAGTATAGCCAGTTCTTGTCAATGTACAATACTGTGCAAAAGTCAAATACCAACCCTTAATTAATTTACAGTCAAAATGGCAATTAAGTGAAAGTTATTCATTTTTTCAGGAGATATTTCTGAGGAAAGAGTCAACGGAAAATAAGCAAAAAAGGACTTTCCAAAACTGGAATTTTAATCAGTGATTAAAATATACAGAGAACATGAGACTCATAACAACCATACAAGACCTGGTAACCACCAAAACTGTCGCTATTAGATAAACAAGCTTTCATCTTTGAGAGAGAAGAAAAAGCCAAACTCCACATTTGCTTCAGATCTGAAAAAATCCACAGGTGTTTCTGTCCATCCTTCCACTGTGAGAAGACAACTCTGAAAGACAAGCCTGTAAGGAGCTGTCAAGACGCCGTTGCTGAGAAATTAGATAAAAATTAAGAACATCTGTAAATGAAATAAAAAAGCTGCTGGTGTTCTCAGAACGGACTGGCCACCCCAGAGTCCAGACCTCAACATTACTGAATGTGTTTGGGATTACTTGAATCGTGACAAGCAGAAAAGGCAACCAACTTCTAAGACTGAACTTGGTAAAATATCCCTGCAGAAAGCAAGTCTCTCAAAATAATGGAATCTGTGTAAATGATGTTTGATTTGTATGATGTTTGTACTCTTTATAAATATATGCTTTCTGTTTTTTTTCTGATGCTGGAAAATGAATAGCTTGTACTTAATTGCTGTTTTGACCGGAAATAAATGAAGGGTGGTCTCTGACTTTTGCATAGCCCTGTAGAATATAATTGAAGTTTGTTCAGTATGTGTTCATGGCTGTAGAGAAATCAAGCATTAAAACAGGGTATTAAAACAAAATGGTGGCGTAATACAGTAAAGACAACACACTATACACATCATACCTTCATCCAGCTTGTACAGAACATTAAACTTTGTAAATGTTTGACTTAAAACATTGGTTTGAAATATTAATACCTGTTGTTATTTTATTCACCATTTTCAAAAATGAGGCACATAACTGGTAAATTCTGTTAACTTAATTCTCAATGTTACACAGCTTTCTTAGTGATAATACTATCATCTACAGTTTTGTTTATTATTTTGGGTACATCTACAATGTATTACTTTTACAATTTCCTACGAATTATCCAAAGCAACGAAGCTGTGGAGCATAAGACCTGAAAAGAAATGTTTTTACACTACTGATACTAGTTTCAAAGTGTGGCTGAAAGGTGATACCAAAGTTTTAAACAGCAGTATCCATGTATCTCGTGTTTGTTCTTTCTCTCTGTTCACTGTCTTTTTATTCTACGTTCCATCTAGCTTACCCGAAGAACGGTAATCTCCTCCTCGGCCTCTGCAGTGGTCTCCTCTAGCTCTGTCTTGGCCTGCTGCAGCTGGCTCTCCAGGGCATGGCGAGCTGCCTGCAGGCTGCTGATCTGTGACTCCCTCTCCTGCAGCGACAGCGTCAGCTCCGACACCTGCCGCTTTATCTCCAGCTTCTGCTCCTCATGCTCCAGACCAATCTGACGGGCAAAAGAGATTTTCACCATTTATGGAGATTAGTCAGCTGCCGCAATTTCCTACAGCACTGCATTCAGAGACCACATACTGACTTTCAATCTCTTCCTTATACTAGTAATTTTGTCAATAGTGAGCTTGTCAGTGGTTTGAATTAAGTGGCTGTTGCCATGGATGGCTTTGTGAAACATCTTTTTGAATTATGCATGAAATCTGAATGAAAACAGCTGTAGAGATAGAATACACTCTTCTTCAAAAAGTCTTAATTATTGGCACCATTAATCTTTGGCCCTTCAATTTCATCTCCTTGTACACCACTTTAACTTCTATTTCGTAGAGAAATCTTATTCAGTTCCAGTGTTAGCCATTGTTAGACTTGACTCTGCTGCACTGGTCTGTTCTCACCTCTCTGAGTCTGGCCTCCAGCTCTAGTACACGACTCTTATTGGCTTGTTCTTGTTGACTCATCTTCTCTAAGTGCTCTTCCAGCTTGGCATTCTGGGCTTCCAGTTTGCCTGCCTGAGACTCAAGGTAGAACTTTTGCTGCCTCAATTCAGATATCATTTCTTCTTGGGCTTTCCTGCAGATATTAAGAGTAATAACATGAAAACAGTTTTTGAAGCGAAAGGGGTCAGCAACCCAAAAGTTTCAACAAAAATCAAACAACCTTGGGAGCCACAAGATTTCATGTCCATTTTATTGAAGTAACATTTCACCATATAGGCTGTAGATATGTCTCAGTATGTGCTGATGTCCTACTACAGGCAAAAAGAAAATACTATAAACGAAAGTGCAGACTTACTTTGCTCTGCTTTAAGCTTTAGCTCAGCTATAGCCACTTTTCTCGCATCTCTGGCAGGAAATTTTTCCACAAAAGTGCAACAGTTTCTTGTAAAATGTCACTTAACGTTAAACTTTTTACGAAACTGAAGTCAGCTTCTCATTTGCCAGCTTCTTGTTTGAATTTTCCCATTCCACCTTAAATGGTACCTGAGGTGCCAGAATGCCTCTTCGTTAGCCACTAGCTAGGCGAGACTGTTGTCTGTTATGTGACCAGCAGTCTGCATGCTGATCTTCAGGGTTAAAGGGTGAATTAGCAGTTATACTCCAGCAGTTATACTCCAGCAGTTATACTCCAGTGTTTAAGACCATTTATTGTTAAAACTGTGTTAGAATGAACAGCAGAGCTTTACTGCAATAGGGGATTATTTTAGTTTTACCTAAAAATCTAATTCTGCTGTGGAGCCACAACAAGGCAGTAAAAGAGCCACATGCGACTCCGGAGCTGTGTGTTGCCAACCCCTGTTCTAGGCTAAAGTCTCACAGCTGATGGCAGCAGAGAACTGAAGATGCACAAATGGACAAAAAGCACATTTCATCAGGGCTAAATTCCTGAAAGTAAAAGTACTTTTGACAACTAATGCTAACTGAAATCTAAAAAACCACTTTCACCTAGGTCAGAGCCTTACACGTCTTATGAGATGCCACATCTTTTGATATTCATCTCTTTGTTGAATATGTAAATGTGCTCCAAGAAAAATCCCACAAGGTAAATCAAAATACGGTAACCTACTTTAGATGCGAGGGTGAATGAAAATAGTGAGCGTAGTTGAATCAGCTGAGAGGACGTGAGGTCTCAGAAATCACACTGCAGCAGCACTTGTCTTCTGTGAACTCACATGTTTTTCTGAGTGTAGATACTGCTGTTGGCTGCCAGCTTGTTTGCCTCAGAGAGCTCAGCAATCCTCTGCTCCAAGCTAGTCATCTTTGATTCCATAGCATTGATTGTCTGAAAGAGTACGAACCTCATTAATAAACAAATGTATTGTTCAGTGTTCACATTGCGTTCTATGTTCTAAAGTTACAACCTATTGTTTTGTTGGAATATAGTAATCTTTCAGATGTAAGCGTACATTTATTACATATGTTGTAGTCTATGTAGATTTTGGCTGTGGTCTTACCGCTGCCTGGTCACTGATTAGTTTTCCCTTCTCTCGAGATTCTTCCTCATATGTGTTCTGCTTAGATTCCAGGAGCTCTTTGTCAGCCATGTCTGCCTTTATCTGGTTCTCCAAAACCTTGAAAACATCAAGCACTCAAGTATGACTCAAACTGCACGGCAAACGGATGTTCAGAATCATACAAGTGATACATTTTGAAGCTGAGCCCTTAAGGTAACATGCATTGTACAATCAGGTCCATAAATTTTTGGTTGTCAATAAAGTTACTATTTTTTGTGTAAAATTAAATAATAAATCAATATCTGCTCAAATGCTTTCAGGTTTCATTTGAGGGTATTACATCCAATGGTGTAGGAATTACAACCATTTTTATGCATAGCCCCCCTGTTTTTAGGGGATCAAACGTAATTAGACAATTGGCTGCTTATCTCTTCCATGGACAAGTGTTTTATTCCCTCTTTATTTCACTTACAATTAAGCAGATAAAAGTTAGAGTTGTTACTGTTAACTCTCAACTTGACAGGAAGAGTATGGAAAAGTGTTCATGATCCAAAGCATACCATCTCATCTGTAAAACATGATGTTATGGCATGGGCATGTACAGCTGCCAATAGAACTGGCAAGTCAATTACCTTCTCAATCCAACCAAGCAAGCATTTCATTTAATGAAGGCAAAACTGGTGGTGTCCATTGGTTCCAGACGTCAGGTAATCATTGACTACAAATGATGTCCAACCAAGTATTAAAATTTCATTTGCGACTGTTAGTTTGCCCAATTTTTTTTGAGCCTGTAAAAATGGGAGAGCTATGCTTAAAAGTTGTACGTCCTACACTGTTTACCCAATGTGGATGTAAATACCCTCAAATCAAAGCTGAATGTCTTTGAGCTCATATTTATATCAACTTCAGTATGGTGTGGTAGATAGCAAAAAAAAAACAATACAATGGACCTGACTGTATGTTCTGCTAGGATAAGCCATGACATGAAGTGCAATCAAACCCGTATTAATAATTATTTTTATTTAAGTGTTTTATAAGTGTCTTTGACTGAAAATAAACGTAAAAATATTTCAATTTAGTCCTTTTGAGTGAAAGACTGTCTTGAGTTGCAGTGGGCACTGAGGGCACAACCTTGATCTTATCCTCATACAGCTTTTCATTCTGCTCCAGATGAGTCTCCATGCGCTGTGCTGTAGCTTGAGTGTCACGCAAGTTCTCCTCCAGTTCCTGGATACAGGAGAAACACGGTAAGAGTAATATCCATTCACTCAAATCATGACAGAATCATAGATACTCACCTCCACCCCCACACAGAAACATATCAAATTCCTCAGATTAAAAAATAAACAATTCTGCATAATTAAATCATTTAGATGTAAACAAATGTCATTCATAGTGATTTGATGTGAAATGTGCCGTCATAGAGAAACGTACGGAGCTGCCTGATGCCTGAGACATTGTTTTATGACAGTTTTGAGAAAAAGTTTTGGGCTAAAATGTATTTTTGAAATACAGTCATGGTGAGGTATGGAGAGGTACATGCAGGCATGGTGAGGCTTGTTTTTTTTTTTTCAGATTTACCACTATTTTACCATTACCAACATTACACTTCAAAGACACATGTAGGTTCACTGGTCACAGTAAAATGACTATTTTTGTGTTGTAGACATCATGACCACCACTGCAAAGAAATCAGAGTCAGGAAATTTCTACACAGTGAACATATTTACATCAAACCACTCTAAATGATGTTTGCATCTACAACTCCATTTCCAAAAAAATTGGGAGGCTGTGCAAAATGTAAATGAAAACAAAATGCAATGATGTGCAGATCATTTAAACCCCCTATATTTCATTGAAAATAGTACAAGGCAGCATATCAAGTTTTGAAACTGAGAAAATGTATTGTTTCTGAACATAAAATAGCAAATAACTTTTGCTTTTCATCATCTCCGGTACATAATATCATTAAAAAATTCAGAGAATCTGGAGAAATCTCTGTATGCAAGGGACAAGGCCGAAAACCAATACTGGTTACCATGATCTTTGGGCTCTCAGGCAGCACTGCATTAAAAACAGACATGATTCTGTAGTGAAAATCACTGCATGGACTCTGAAAACCACTAGCTATGAAAACAGTTTGTCTCTGCATCCACAAATGCAAGTTAAAACTCTTAAACACAAAGAAGAAATCATATATAAACAGGATCCAGAAATGCTGCCACATTCTCTGGGCCCGAGCTCATTTAAAATGGTCTGAGGGGAAGTGGAAAAGTTTCCTGAGGTCCTACAAATCAACATTTGAAATTCTTTTTGGTAATCATGGTCATTGTGTCCTCCGGGCTAAAGACCACTCAGCTTGTTATCAGTGCACAATTCAAAAGCCAGTATTCATGATGGTATAGGGGGGCATTAGTGTGCATTGCATGGGTGATGTGAAGGCACCATTAATGCTGAACAATATATACATGTTTTGGCAACATATGCTGCCATCGAGATGTCTTTTTCAGGGAAGGCCTTGTTTATTTCAGCAAGACAATGTCAAACCACATTCTACATGTATTGCTCCGTATTAAAAGAGTCTGGGTGCTAAACTGGCCTGCCTGCAGTCCAGACCTGTCACCATTAAAAACATTTGGAGGGTTATGAAATGAAAAATACTACAAATGAGCCCCCGAACTGTTGAGCAGCTGAATTCCTATATCAGTCAAGAACGGGAAAACATTTCACTTTCAAAACTACAGCAGTCGATTTCCTCAGTTCCCAAACACTTACAGAGTGTTGTTAAAAGAAGAGGTAATGAAACACAGTGGTAAAAATGCCCCCATCCCAACTTTTTTGGAACGTATTGTTGGTATCAAATTCAAAATGGGCATATATTTTTCAAATAACAATACAATTTCTCAGTTTCAACATTTGATATCTTGCCTTTGTAGTATTTTCCTTTAAAAATATGGTTTACATGATTTGCATATTATTGGATTCTATTTTCATTTACATTCTGCACAGCGTCCCAACTTTTTTGGAAATGGGGTTGTAAATAACTGAATTATGTCAAATTTTTTGAAAAATCAGTGGAATTACCCTTTAATAATCAAAAATAAAGGTCAAACTATTTTGACCTTTTATGGTAACTGAAACATTATGCATCATGAATCAATGTGTCACACTTCATCCTGGCCAGAGAGAGGGAGAGAGATGATCCGTGCTCACAATCTGCCACTTTTGGAACAAAGACAGACGCACAGAGAATGCTGTAAGCATCAGGGGAGATAGTGGGGCCACTGCTTAGTCAGGCAGATGAGACAAAGAATGTGCATGTGAATCAGCGGGTGGCCTACCATCCCTTACCATGATCTTGTCAGCCATCTGCTGAATCTGCTGTGATTTGGTCTGGATGTCCTCTTTCAGTTTGGTCTCCCTGCGTTCCACGATCTCCAGCCTTTTTACCTGGTTCTCTAAGGTCTTCCTACCATCCTGCTTATTACACACAAACCATGAATACCCCATCATGATATGGCCATTCTGCATTCAAGCTAAAAATGAAGTAAACTGTTGATGCAGGAAAAAACAGACTGCTGTCTGATCGACTGATTTTTCATTGTCATACAAAATGTCCGCTCCTCAGGTGATCTACAGTACTTTTCAGTCAAAATGGCCACAAAGTACAAGTCACTCATTTTTCTGGAGATATTTCTGAGAGATCAGATATAAAATAATCCAGTTCCACAAAAACAAAAATCAGAAGTTTTTAAAACTGCAGCTCCAAAAGTCGTTAAAAGATATAGAGAAAATTGGACTCCTAATAACTGTAATCGTGCATGATCTGGTAGACCACTAAAACTGTCAACATCAAATAAATAGTACTTTCAACTTTAAGAAAACCAAGCTCCACTCTTGCTTCAGATCTGAAAAAAATCCACAGGTTTTTCCATCCTCCTTGCACTGTGAGAAGACAACTCAATGCTATGTGTCTGAAAGGGTGTGCAGCTGCTAAAAAGCTGTTACTGAGAAAATAAAACAGACAAAAAAAGGTTTGAAAATTTGCAAATAAACAAAGAAGCTGTTGATGAGAAGTAGTAAATGTAACCAACTTCTAGGACTGAACTTTGGAGATGTAGAAAAATAGCCCTGAAGATGTTTTTAAAAACTGAATGCAAGTGTCCCAAAAAGAATGGAAGCTGTAATAAACAGGGTGGACACACTAAATACTAAAAAAAATGCTATTACATTCAGTTGTTTAGACTTCTGTGTAATTTTTTAAATATATGTTGTCAGTGTTTTTCCTGATACAGAAAAATAAATTAATTGTGCTTGATAGCTGTTTTGATTTGAAATGGACATGAAGGGTGGTCTCTGATTTTTGCACAGGACTATATGTCTGACCTCGGTCTCTCGCAGACGTCTGCGAAGGCTGTCAGTGGAGTCTTCTCTGGTCTGCAGTCGCTCCAGATCTCGCTCAAGGCGCTCTTTATCCAGACGAACATTCTGCAGCAGTTCTGTGGCCTCGGTGCTCGCTTTCACTGCCTAAGAGAAATCAGAAGACTCTGAGTGCTATACGGCCAATAATGTATAATCAAGGGTGTATAAAGTAGACTAAACTGGTACTCAAGTAAACATAGAGTTACTTCAGTGAAATAATGACTCTAGTAGAAGTAATGAAGTAAAGCCTAGCAAAAAACTATTTGAATTGCAGTAAATACCTACAAGGTTGAACAAACTCCAAAAAAAGTACCAAGTTCCCGACTATCAGTTTGCTGGGGTGCCTTTTGCTTTAAAACAAAATGCTGAAACTCAAGTGATGTGTAAGCAACAGCAAAGCAGTCCAGGTGTTGAACAGAAAGAATGAAATTAAATACAAAAACAGAGTTAGTAACTCAATATGAATGGCTAAGTGGAACATAGTAAAAAGTTGATCACTTTTCTCACAAAAATATGTGAGTAAAAGGGTCAACATTTTCAAAAACTCAGAGAGGTAATGCATCAAAAGTCCATGTAACTGAGAAAACGTGACTATTTACTACTCAGCTTTGTGTGTTCTATCTACTTGTACTTCAGTGTGACAAGTGTGAAGTACAGGAGCATTATAAATGCATGCGAACATTTGTGGTAAAGCTCATCTTTACATAAAAGGGATTTCAGCACCTTGGCAAGCTTGTCCTGAAGCTCCTCAATCTTTGCCTGCTGCTCTTCATTGGTCTGAGTAAACAATAAGAATTCACCATTGGGTTTTCAGTTTTTAAAGGACTGAAATAATAAAAAAACATCATAATAAAATAATGATAAATTAATAAAAATAATAATAATGAATTAGTCAACTGTGTAACAGGCCCTGTCATTATGAGAGGTGTTTGAGAAAAACCTTCTGCAGTTTAGTAAGAAGCTCCTCCATCTCAGCTTTGCCTTGCTCTTTGGCCTATAAAAATTAAGACAGGTCAAAAAACAGTAAGTTACAAGGCAAAGCTACATAAATACTACTACTACTATACTGTATACATACACTATACATATATACATGTACTTTATACATTTACTGTATTATATATATGTCCTACTATAACTATTATACTACTGTAATAATACTACTAATGTATCAATAAATCAAGCTCCTTTCCATGCTTTTGACCTCTAAACCCTCTGACCTTCTGGATCTTTTGCTGGTAATCTGCGGCCTTCCTCTTCAGCTCCTCGCTGGTCTGGCGTGACTCCTTCAGCTCGGACTCATACAGGTCACTGCGGCGGCGAGCGGCAGAGAGGTTCTCCTCCAACTGACGAATGGACACCCGCATCTCTTCTAGCTGGGCATGGTATTCCTGCAGGCCAACAATTACAGTTTCAACAGGTAGGACAGCAACACTACAGAAGAAACATCTAACAAATGTTCAGGTTTGTGTGAGAAACTGTGGTTGAAGAATCTACGGCTTTCTATACGCATCAGTGAGAAAATATGGTATAAAGGATGTAATTCAGTATTAAGTAATTTCAGTTCAGATTTTACACTTTCACTTGATGCCACACTAGCATTTGTGAGGAGATGTTTTATTATTATTTGAATCTAATGAAAAGTTATGGGCCCATGGGCACATGCAAAGGATAAGCAACTAACTAAAGAGGTGAGAAGGAAAGACACTTGTGCCGAATGGCCAAAAGGTCAAAGAGTGGGTGTATAGATTGAACATGTCAGGAGTCTCATCCTGCTCTGGTCTTCTAAGAGGAGCCATTACCTAGGAGAGCACTTACCGACTTCCTCTACATCATATTCTCTCAGGCTACACATGTCTGGTAGGTAGCCTTTCAGTATCTAATGATTACAATGGTATCACAACAGCAATGGCAAATCAAGTGGGACTGAGGATTGCGTCTTTAATTGCGTCTTATTTCAATTACATTAAATTGCTTATGCAGAAAATGTATTATTAAATCCAAGGGAACAACATCGTTCTTTTATATGCATATATGGGCTCTATTTTTGTTCGCATACCTTTTAGTGTTATAACGCCTGTATATTGGTAATGTGGTTAGATGCGAGTGGATTTTTTTTTGCGCTCCCACTGCACAAACAATATACACCTGCAGCTCAAGGCCTGCCACTTTTTCAAAACCTGTTCAAACCCCTGTTGTGCCACCCTACCACTGCTTGTATTTTTTAATTAATTTCCCAAACATTGTCTAAAGTTGTGCTTGCGCTGCAGCCCTCTTAAGACCCACTCTTAGGTCAGATGCAAGAACCTGAAGTACTGGCTCAAAGTCCTGTCCAATTTCTTGTGAATTTATGGACGAGCACTAGTTATATCATCCCACTTCAACACAAATACAACTGACAGAATTATTTAATACATAATGAATAAGGAAAACTACAGTTATCGTTATCAATTGTCAATTGATGTGACGTTACCTACAAAACATCTTATAATTAATAGATAGTTCTGGTTCTAAAATCTGAGCTGAACTACACTGATTTGCAGAAGCTTTCTTTTTTTTCTGCTTTTATGTATTTCATGTAAATGTTCTTCTTCTTCTTCTTTTATTATTATTATTATCATATTATTATTACTATTATTCATCAGTTATTGTTGTATTAAAATAAATTCAATAATTTATTAAATTATAATTATAAGTATCTCATCATATTATAGACATTATGAATGAGTGAATATAAGCACTCTGTCCTCAAGAGCTCACATATGAGTGGACCCTCACTAACAGAGTGGCCCATAAGTGCACAAGAAGACAGAAAATGCATGTGTTGTTAAAAAAATGTCTGTCTCTGCACTGATAACACACCTAACCAAACTCGTTGTTAATGTATTCATGCTTACTTAATCCCTTTTTATAACTGTATTGCTCTGCTCCAGGTCATTGCCTGCACCCAGGGCCACCCATAAGGGAGGAAAAACTTACAGGGGCCTAGCTATTAAGGGCGCCCCAAGAGTCTGAGTGCTCTGTTCATAAATGACAATGGAGCATATGTGTAATATATATGTGTGTGTGTGTGTGTGTGTGCCTGGCTCACAATCTCTCTTCTAGTTAATCCCAAAGTTGTTAGATGGGGTTGAAGTCAGGGCTCTGTGTGGGCCAGTCAAGTTCTTCCACACCAAACTCACCCAGCCATGACTTTATGGACCTTGTTTTGTGCACTATGGCACAGTCATGCTGGAACAGAAAAGGGCCTTCCTCATACTGTTCCCACGAAGTTGGAAGCATAGATTTGTCCAAAATGTCAAAATATCAAGACTGCAAGGCTATGTGCTTAATTCTATCCACCTGTTAGCAAAGGGTGTGGCTGAAACACCAGAACTCAATAATTAGGAGGTGTGTTCCAATACTTTTGTCCATATAGTGTGTGTATATATATTTTCTGTTTAACACTCTTGAAACAGAAAATATTAGGGATGCCTAAATCGATTTCATAGCCAAAACCACCTGAAACAATGAAAGTTATCAGGATTTCTGATAATGAATGGCTCCTACAATGATCTTCATTAAAGTCAATTATTTTATTCCATCAACATGCACAACATCTTTTATGAACAAAATATTGTTTATGGAAAAAAATAAAATATGAATATTTGTATTAAATAACTAGTGAAACCTCTTTTACTGGCAGTAGTTATTTCTATCAGTATACTGATCATTTCCTTGGGGCTGTCTTGCTTAAACAACCTGCTTAAAAAGAACTTCTTCTGTTTGAGCTTCTCTGTTGTTGATTTACTCCTGTGTTTTGCATCACAGTCATGTTGCAAGACTCAAGCTCTTTGGAGTTTTAGAGACATCCAGACATTCTGTTTTAGAACATCCAGATACAACGACAAATTCATTGAGCCCTCAATAAGTACAAGCTGGTTGGGCACAGAGGCTGCAAACCAATATAAGTACCAAAATACACTTTAACCATGCATCACAGTTGGGACAAGGTCTTTGGTATGGGTACGCAGTGTTTTGTTTTCTCCAATTACAGTACTTTTCCAAAAATAGAGCTGTAGAGCAAGGTGGTTGAGGAATAATGCTCAGGGGACATTCTTAATAGTTTGGGCTCTGACCCGTAGTTCCAGTGATGAGAAATCTACAGAAATTTGCACTTCCAACTTGGTGAAAAACCATTCCTGTTTCAGCATAACATAAAGGGAGTTTGTCAAATTTTGTGTGAAAGAACTTGACTAGCCAACACCAACCTATGCAATGAATTGGAATGCTGACTGTGAGCCTGAATTTATCACTCAACATCAGTGCTGACCCCACTAATACTCCTGTGGCTGAATTGATGTGAATCCCTGCAGCCATGTTTCAAAACCAAGGGGAAAACTTCTCAGAACAGTGGGGGCTGTTACTGCAGCAAATGGCAGGATCCATTCTTTATTAATACCTATGATTTTGGAATGAGATATTCAGCAAGTACATATGGATAGGTTTGATAGGGTGTCCACATACTTTTGGTCACATACTGCAAAGCATACTGCCATCACAGTATGCAGCAGTATAACTGCAATATGTTATTTTGTCCATATCATGCAGCCCTAATTAAAATTCATCTTTGTTATCTGCCTACAGAACATTTCTAGTAGTTTTTGGATAACTTGGGACCCATAGCGATATTTTTTGGAGAGCAGTGATTCCCTGTGTGGTCAGCTCCCAGTCTTGTTCACTGTTTTCCTTTTGGTAGACTTGTGATCACAGATATTATCGAGTGCAAGAGATGTCTGAAAATCCTACACTCTAGGATTCTTTGTCACTTGTTTGAGGATTTTATGGTGTTCTGTTAACCTCCTATGGAGAGTAGAAATGGTGCTGAGTTTCTTTCACTTCTTTCACTAAAAAAGCCGCAGGACTGTGGGCAAACAGAGGCCGAAGTAATTTTTTTTTTGTAATATAGCAGGGCATGTTAAACCCACATTGGAACAGCTGACTTCAATTATCCTCTTTCCAAACAGGTCATTATCCCAGAGGTTCACATAGTTTCCATCAATATGCAAATGCAAAAAGGTGGCATAAATAAAAATATAAAAAGGCAGAACACAACACAATATTAACTTCTTTTTTTTATCAGAGTTATGTGTAGGGGACACATCTAATAGGTGAACTGAACATAAAACTTTTAGGATTAGGGTTCTATTGTTAAACTTGGAGGTGACTCCAAAGTCAACATACAGACAGTGCAGAAAGTCAAATGAAAATGAACAGAGTTTCCAGTAATCAAAACTGTAATTAGAGGCAACAGAAATGACAAAGATGAGGTGCTTGACATTTTCTGAAATTACCATCTTGCTGAAGACTATAATGTGAAGCAAACTGTTCGTCTATTTACGGTGAGTCAACACAATCTGGTTGCGTCAATCCTCTCAGCTAGCATGATCGTTTAATTATCAATAGCGGGCTAATTGCTCTACTGTGCAAACAACTTCAGTCATGAAACCGCTGTTGCGTGCAAAGTAGACACAAAAACATCTGCAGGATCTCCTAAAATAGAGAACCATGGATGAGTGGTTGATCGAAAAAAAAAGCTTTCCACAACTGCAACAACAGTTGACAACAAAAAAAACACAGCATATCCAAAGAGCATAAAAACACTTTTACGTAATATCCATTATTGTAGGAGACAACCTTGCAGAAACAGCTACTTTTTAATCAATTTAAGGCTCTTCAGAATCCTTTAAATGCTGAAAATGACCCCCTCTGTACAAAGTGCAGGCTTTGTACTGACAGTCAAGAGCGTATTCAGGGAGTCTTAATGTTGCCACTGTAGACCTACAAGACTCTGCACAAAGACAGCAAGCTCAGAGCACTTTCTCCCCAGGAGAAAGTGCTCTGAGCTCAAGAATACCTCCTGCTGAATATCTCGGCTTTAGCGTTCTTTAGAAAATTGCGTTCTCCATCAAAACCTAAACTTATGCTTTATTCATAAGCTACTCTTATTGATTCTCTTTGTTTATCATAAACATTGTTGAAAAAGTTTGCTGTTGTCCAGGCAGCACAATGAAAAATTAGGCCAGCGTGATATTAGCTTGGTAGAACACAAAACAGTCAGGCACTTCAAACATAATAAGCTGTGTACTCGTGAAGCTGCCCCTGCAAAACCCATCTGATAAAAAACCACAAGCAGGCAATGTGGAATGAGTGGAGTTAGGCAATGCCATTGAACCTCAATAATAATGCACTCTGTCACCTCTGCGAACACTTCAAACTCCTTACAACAGAGTGCCTGGACTCTTTCAGAAGATACAGACTTATGAAGAAGCAAAGGAAACCAGAAGCAGACTCAAAAAGCTTGAGCTTAGCTCCCGTATCGGCTGTCATAAAGTGCCATTATGAGGAAGGAGGATGTAAATGGTTAATCCAGCCTAAACGCTGAGTTCGGCTAATTGAAGACTTTCGCCAGCTCACGATGGTCTCCTCACTGCATCTGCACACCCTTCACTCCTGGCTACCATTGTCAGTCTCCATGGCAACTACAGTGCGATGGAGCTGGAAGAGCTGAACCATGCCAGAGAGCAGCTTGTTTTTCTATCAGCACCCCCCGTGTATCATATGGATTAGCCTAACACTCCACGCTACCTATTCACCACTGGTTCACATGCTGAAATGTACAAAAGAAATATTTGGAAGATTGCAGTACGACATGAGCTCATTTCGCCAGTACGCCACAGTTGCTCTGACAGAGCTCTGCACTGACCGCTTTGTATTCAGCCTCTGCCAAAGGCATGTGAAGCTTTTTCAGGAGGGAACATTATTTGGGCTCCTTCCCAAGGCTCATACCTCACAGACTCAATAAAAGCACATGGCGCAGCGGCGAGGGTTCAATAAAGCGGCATAACTCACACATGCTCCAGGAAGAAAGGTGTTGCCAGATTGCAGAGTGCATGTAATTAACACATGCATTGCAGGAAGCTAACGCACAGGACAAAAAACACATACAGTGCAACCTAATGAAGATAGGTCCAACACACTCAATGAAGCACAGTTACAGTACTAGAGGTTACCAACAGAAATCCATGAAGAATTAATCACTTTTTAAAAATGCACATTGGGTACACTAGAAGTGGGCAAATTACAAAAGCTAAGCAGTTATGAACCAGTTTTGAAAAGCTCTGGGTAATGTGGATTAAACACTACATCATGTTTACCTACCGTACAGCAAAAAAAAAAGATTTGTCAGTTTGTCAGGTAATTGTAATTTGAGAGGGTATGCAAGAGGATGATACCCCCCATTAAAAAAAAGGCAAAAAACACCCCATTAGTAAAACGAACCCCCATTTCCATCTAATTTGGATTAATATCACTTAGGATGTCTATTATCAATATTTCCAATCCATCAGCGTGTGAAATGTACAAACAGTGTTGCTTTGGATGTATCGAAAGTTTTTAGTGTCAAACAAGTTATGATCAAAGCAACGCACCTATGCACCTACAGAAGGTGTTTATGTAACTTTTCAGTATAAATGCAGTGGAGAGTTTGGTACAACATGTGCACTTGCTATTGAGAATGTAAGAAATATACAAAGACCCTCTAAAAAGAAAAACTAAAAGTTGGAGCCTATAATTTGTTGATTATCTTAATATTTAATTACAGATAAAACAATATAAAAGAGAAAAATAATATAAAAGTAATTATATAAAAATACTCCATCCTAAACCCCTGAATCAAGAATTGCTAAGCTACTGGTATATTACTGCCAGCTGTTCTAATGCTACAGTGATGTGTGTTAACATTATGGCTAACGCTGCTTTTAAGTGGTTTCGTTTTATTGGAAAAACAAGTTTCCCACCAGAAGTCCCCATATGAATGCAAATTCAGACAATTAACTTGGAAAAATCTAAATTTTTGATGCAGTATAAATTGGTCAAATTGACGTCAACGCTATTTTTAAGTTGTGGAGGACACAAGTGAACAGTCAATCATATGAACTGTGTGAATATAATAGATGGTTATGATAAAGTGAATTTTAGCCATGTACCAAAACCGATAGATGCCAGTAAGCTACTAAACCACAACAGCTATTTCACAACCTCAGTGTTCTGTTAATCTTTCACTTAAATGACATGAACGCACACGCTGGGTGAACAAGTTACTTCTTTCTGACCGTCCCAGTTGCACTTGAAAGCAGTACAATATTCTAAATGTGGTCGTAAGTAATTACTGCAGAGAGTTTTGTTTAGAGGAATAAAATGCTGGTTAAAAATACCAATACATTATCTAATATTGCTTATAGTGAGAAACTGATTAGCTGAAAGATGGCTATGTTGGGATTAGCTATGTATTTTGTCAGAAGCCACATAATGACTTAGAACCTGAAACAGGGTACGACTGACCTTGATGCTAAGGCTAAGTGATAAGAGCTAATGACTCATAATTTGAGGTTGAAACATTCTACACGCGTTTTTAAAGGCATACACTTGTACACAAATTATTATAAACATCAAAACCTGACTGTAGAATTACAAATAGCTTATACTTTGTTCTACACAAAGAAATAACAAATGACTTCTAATCACAACACAAAACGAGGTATCTAAAAAGGCTTTTTTCTGTGATCCCCCTCCTATTTTATCAGAAACACCTACCATGTAATGTTGCTGTACCTGACACACTCGTACTAGCACAAGACACATTAACAGGCCACTGCTGTGCTGATACACTACATGTCCAAAAGTGTCCAGGCACACCTTATAATTAGTGAATTCAGCTACTTTAAGTGCACTTGTTGCTGACCCAGGCTTTGAATTGCACAAACAGCTTACAATCTCGACGGAATAGCAGTGCCACTAGAACAGGGCAGCCAGGAGCAGCCACCCATGAGCCTATTATCACCATGGCCAATGCCATACAGGGCCTCTGAGAACTGTGTTCTCAGAAGTGATGGAGCACCCTCAAATACCTTGGGATGAGCTGGAGTTGGGTTTGTGATCCAGAACTTATCATCAAACATCACTACCTGATCTCACTAAGGCTCCTGTGGATGAATGCAATCAAATTCAACAGCATGGTTTCAACATCTAGCATAAATGTTTCCCAGAAGAGCAGAAGCTGAGGCAAGTGTTTATAAAGTTTTGGACATATAGTGAATCACTGGAGTGCTGAGAATGATAAACCACCCAAATAATATCTGGTCAGGGGTGGTCCTATGGTTCTCCCTTCCCACCAATGGACTTTGTAGAGAGTGGTTGATGAGTTGTGCAGCAACAGATGAGGCGCAGTCAGTAACTGTATCTACAAGGTAACTGTACCTATAGTGCACCAATGTTGTATTAACAGCTAAGTTTGGCATCTCTGTGCATAGCATTATGGGATTTATTCTAAAGGCCAATTGATCCATCAAAGCATGCATGGAGCACACAATCAGACAGAAATCAGTACAAGATACGCTGTACTGTGTAAGAAGTGAGAGCGCTCATACTGTACCTGCTCTTTTATCTCCTGCAATTTGTTGCTTTGCTCGCGGATATCATGGAGCAGCTGCAAAGCCTTGTCGTCCTCCTGTGACACCTCCATACGAGCCTGCTCCAGACTGCGCTTCAGACTCTACACATACACACACAGAACAGTCACCACTTAGATGCAACAGTATGTCTTTATGATTACAGATAAAGTGCTCAGTATGTGCGATAAAGTAAACTCACACTGCACTCTGTGATGTAAGTGGCCAGGTCCTGTTCGAGGATGGTTCTCTGGGTCTCTGAGGCTTTTAGCTCGACATCTTTCTGCTGAAGAACTGACTCCAGGTCAGACATCTTCCTCTGCACTTTAGAAATCTCCTGCTCCATCTTTACAAAGGCAAACAAGAATGAGTCCAACCGTTGCATTGGATTGCTATGTATACAAAAAATTTTTACTGCTAAATAACCATAACTTCTCATAGCCAAACGGTGCAATCAAATCCAATACCAGGTTTCGTATCCATTACAGTGCTATCTTTTTCTACTTTTATTCAGTTTTATCTCAGAAATAGTTCTGAAGAAGTATCAACAATATATCACTTTTCACAGTGTGAAATATAATACTTTTTCCGATGGTGAAGTAGTGAAGTCTAAACCTGCATCAGATTTAATTATCCAGACAGCCTTGCAACAAATCTACAGCAAAAAAAGCAGACCTACCTTCAAATATATCTCGGATGTTCTTGCTGTTAAGCTGTGAAGGTCTTTTGCTCTTGCTGCGCTCTTGGTCTGAAAGATGAGGTCTGCAGTACTTGCCCTTTAGAGGAAAGAAAGTAAGGGGGGGAGCTAAGAAACCCAGAAATATCACCAATCGTTGAAAACATGTCAGACTTACTGTGGATTTTGCTTTATAAAATTAGCTCAAAACTGCATGTGTCAATGAAAACACTAAAACAGCTGCAAGTAAGCCTGCCTCCTGGGCAGACACTCTCAATTTATTTGACTTAGTAGAAATAATGGTGACACTGTTCAATTTCAAGCATCACAGTGCATTTATCTTTGCACCAATGCACACAAAAAGCTATTAAATAATTAGGCTTGGTTCGTGGGGCTGAAACCATCAGCGCAGAGAACAAATGATCTCTCATAATATGAGTAACAACAACAATTTAATTACTATAATTATAGCACTGAATCTGGATGGAATCATTTGGCCCAATCAATCCAATAACATGCATAACGCACAGCTGTGCCACAAGTTCAACTAACTGCAAATAAATGTAACCATGTGTGTTTACACATTAAATCTGCAGAACTAAACTGTTAAATTTAATGCAAAGCAATGCCAAACTGCTGACATTTTAGGCAATCTAGAAATGTTGCCTGGACATATTTTGGCAAAAAGGGGACACTGACCCAAACATAAACCAACAGAACTCACAGTTTTAGTTCAATTCAATTCAAAATATATTTATATAGCGCTTTTTTGATCACAAGAATGTAACCTACATCTAGTCCCTGCTCATGTTCCACCTCCTTGTGACGCAACCGTCAAAATGAGCACTCTAGCTAATGTGACTCACTTGGCTAATTAGCCTTGCTATTTGGCTAGTTAGCTTAACTTATTGGCTGATGTGAAACAATCTACTACTCTGTGTTGATAGAAAATAATATGTTTTTCTGTGCTCACACACTCCCAAATATCTACAATTATATAGAATCATGTGCAAATCAAACAAAACTTAAAGCTTTTTTCTGAAAATGTGTGAAAATCTGGGCAAAAACACTTAAATGCTAGTAGTGCTAGCCAGCTTATGTCACATTAGCATACTCTTTGTAAAGTAGAAAATCTAAAAATAGCTATCAGCCATGGCCATAACTAGGTTTGAGGGCACCGAGGTCCAGACCTCTGTAGTTTCAGAAGGGTTTTTTCACGTTTCTCCATTCATGAGATTTAAAGTGAAAACAGCACTGGTTTGATAATGCCGTAGCCAACTCAGGGATGCAGCCACAGGTATCACAGACCTATCTAATCAAATGAGGATAGAATATTTTTGTGCATTCTTTAGGATAACAAAAACAACAACAATAACAATAATAATAATAATAATAAGAAGAAGAAGAAGAAGAAGAAGAAGTTTTTTCTGATTGCTGTCACTTTATTATGGCCAATCAATATCTAAATCTGCCTTATTTCCTCAACCCTCCAGTCCCTGTTTATCAATGTTGCTACCTGCCATTGCCCCAAGCCTTTGTGTTCATAATTAGCATGAGACACTTAAGTCCTCATTCGTTTTGGAAGAGTTTTATGAGATTCAATACGGAAACTGAGACAAGCCTATACAAGCAGCAGTGACTGGTTCTCAGCTGACCTCAGAACAGCTGTTGAAAGATGCTACACCACCCAGAGCATCTTTCCCTTCTTGGGATGTTCAGCAACATAAATGCTACATGCTTACATAAAACATAGCTAAGATGAAATTTTTATGAGAGTATTTAACAAATTATGCTTGTAAAATGCAAACCCCATAATTTATTTTTTACTCTGGCCTACTCGTAATGTTGCTAAAGCTAGCCCAATGAGCATGCTAGTCTAGCTCCAGTGGCTGCTCAGTTTAGGCTACAAGCTCTACAGCTGGCAATATTGGATTTTACCTCATTAACTGTATGAGTGGTCTACTCTAGCAGAGTCAAGCAGAGTGAGAAAAAGGTAAATGAAATAAAATCGATGTAAAACTATCACCTGATTTAGTAACACTTTCAGCTGGAAATAAAGGTAAATATATATATGCAAATGACAAATTAATTACATTGGAACAGGGAAACTGGAGTCAAATCAGTTTATGTAACAGTAATAGCAGTTTATGGAAGAATGGAGGGATAGGAAAGGAATGAATGAAAGAAAAAGGTGGGTAAAAAGGAGCAATGATTTGGTTAAAAAAACAACAACGAAGGAGTAATACTTATATGCAGCAGTTATTTTATTCACGATAATGAAAAAAAATGTGATCCTAGTTATGGCTCTGCAGTCAACACATCAACATACCACTCTTGTTTACATTTCTGTGCACTTACTGGACATATAACAATGCTTGGTGCCTTTATAAAGAGTAAAGTATTCGCTAAATTGTCACTTGCTTCAGCTGTAATAGTCAAAGACAGAGGAGAACACCCTCAAGCACCATAAGGTAACAAACATCATGATCTTAAACCTTCGGTACTGAATGGCCAATGATAAAGGCACAGTTCTAGTTTTCTGGTGCAAAAGGTTTAGTGTTGTTCCGTGCTGTTCCTGTTTTTCAGTGTACATATAGCAGAGTTTATTTTTATCAGTCAAAATCATATTAGGCATGCGCTCTGGGTTTTAACTGCCACTCCATAGTATATACTTGGCATCCATTGGGATAGAGAGAGGGGGGGAGAGAGAGAGAGAGAGAGAGAGAGAGAGAGGAGAGAGAGAGAGAGAGAGAGAGAGAGAGAGAGAGAGAGAGAGAGAGAGAGTGACAGAATAAAAGCGGAGCTAATAAAAGAATGGGCTCCTCTCCCACTCCTCCACACTCTAGCCTTGCGAATTTGATTCTCTCTCTCTCTCTACCTCACACTGTGCTTGAAGGCTTACCAATTACAGCACACACACTCACATAAAAGACAAAAAGTACTTCTGAAAATGAACCTGTGGTTCTGAAAATGCACTTGCAGATTCACAAAGATGCGCAACAAGCACACACACAGAAAATCAGTTCTACTAACAGTGCTCTTCACTCCACATGCCTTGTGTTAATTTATGAAGGGGTTCAAGAGGAAGTCGCACACACACACACACACTGCAAATCTGCTGAGTGAAGTTCATGACTCACGCTGTCACACTGTGCACATGCAGAAATGTACATATGTGCACTGCTCGCTGTGTGCCTATCTGTACATCAACACCCTCTCACACATGTATCCTGTGTTTCATTTACAGCCACTCTTTTTCTTACAGGATTTTACTCAGAGCATGTGAGGCTGCTGGCATCTCTAAATAAACACTGCACTATACACAGAGTCGTGAGTTTATGAGGCTCAACATCCATTTTATCAGACACACATACCATACAGTACCGTGCAAAAGTCAGAGACCACCCTCTCTATTTCCATTTAAAATGGCCAGTATAAAATATTAATTTTTTAGTATCAGAAAAACACATTTAACAGACATTTACACAGAAGCCACAACAATGAAATATATTTTTCATTATTTTCTGAGTCAACCCTTTGCCTTTATTGCAGCAATCATTCTTTCAGGAGGCTTGCTTTCAGTTTTGAAAAGAAATCTGCAGGGATATTTTTCCACATCTCCAACATTCGGACTTAGATGTTGGTGGCGTTTTCTGCTTCTCATGATCCAAATAATCCAAAACACATTCATTGTTCTGAGAACACCAGCAGCTTTATTTGATTTGCAAATGTTCTTTTTGTCCAGTCTTTTCTCAATAACGGCTTCTTAACCACTACACATCCTTTCAGACCCATAGTGCTGAGTTGTCTTCTCACAGTGGAAGGATGGACAGAAACACCTGCAGATTTTTTTCAGATCTGAAACAAAGATGAAAGCTTTAAGTACTGTGTATCTGATTGTGACAGTTTTGGTGGTCTACAAAGTCTTGTGCATTTTTAGGAGTCCCATTTTCTTTATATGTTTTCAAACTTTTTTTAAAATGAATTCTGGAAACTTGTGTTTTTCCCCCACTTCCCTTTCTCTTTCCCCTTTCTTATGTGAGTGGACGTTCTATCTAATCTCCTCAGAAATATCTCCTGATATGAATAACTTGTACTTTATGGCTGTTTTGACTGAATATTATATAAATAGAGGGTGATCCCTGACTTTTGTACAGCACTGTAGCGGCACAATTATTGACTGTAGCCCATCTGTTACTGCACTATTTAAGACCACTGCTGATGAGATATCAGATATCACAGGAGTGATACTAACATAATAGTGGTATGTTAGTGTTGCGCTGGTATGAGTGTATCAGATGCAGCAGGGTTGCACTTCTGTGTTAAGAATAGCCCACCAACCAAAAATATCCAGCCAAGAGTGGTTTTACAGCTCATTCAGAGCAGCACATGCACTGCCGTGCCACTACCATGTCATCGTCACTGCTGTGCTGAGAATGGTCTACCCATCTACCCAGCACCACCCATCTGGTCAGCAGTGTTCCTACAGTGATTATCAGTTTTCACTAATGAATGAGATATAAGAGAGCTGGTAAACAGCAACATTTACATTTACAGCATTTGGCAAATGCTCTAATCAAAAGAGCCGTGAGCACAGTGACACTCGACATGCTCAATCGAGCATGGGATGAATTCGACTATGACGTTGATGTAGTCTGTACAGCTGTAGGAGGTCATATTGAACACTTGTAAAATTACATAATAAACTTTATGCTAACTTAAACCATTTACAATTTACTGCAGTGTTCTTTAATGATTTACAAGTGAAATAAATCATTTTGAAATCGGATGAATCTTTTTGAATCACCCTGAATTACTGCATAGACTGGTAAGCTGGTAAGCCTGGGGTGAGGAAACAGAACCCTAGGGCAGCAAATGTTGCCCACTATGCTATATCAACCGCCATGAGCTATAACAATGACATAATCCTTTTTTAGTCCCACAACGGGGAAATTCACAGTGCCATAGCAGCAGAGGGATAGCAAGACACTGAGAAAATTATGTAACAAGAAAAAAATTAACAATCGGGTTAAAGAAAATGGCCAGTAAGTGTGGTTTACAGCCTGATCGATATACTGATTAGCCGATAATATTGTCTAT